TATATATATATATATATATATATATGGTACTTAGAAAAACATCCAAGCGGTGGTGGATGCACTCCTGGACAAGCCCAAGGCAGCATCCGAAGAATGTTCCCGCTTCTGGAGCGAAATTTCCGCGGAAACGTACTTGTTTACTCGTCGCCAGGACCTCGCAGCCGTCGTGCGCACGCTCACGATTCGCGATATTTTGACATTTTTCGACCAGTTTATTCTCGGCCCCAATCGAGCCAAGTGCAGCGTCCACCTCCTCGGCCATCAGCATGTGGTTCCTGCTCTCAAAAGTGAACTCGGTGACGTGGACGCGGTGCTGGGGCCGCTGGCGTCGATCGCGTTGGATTTGAAAGAGAATGCGACCCCTGCGATTGTGTACATCAAGGACATCCGTCGATTCAAACTGGGCATGCCGCTGTTCCCCGAGCGACCGAGTGGACCCGTCGAACTAGCCAAGTAGATAGCATGCCTCCTCCCGTTGCGGCCGTGGCATGCTATATGTATATATAGCTAGCTATATACAGTATATTGGCTTCGTTTTTACTTGATTCGTACTATTATTACCTACATATATACTTTAATCCAGGCAATAATTTATTGTAGCCGAGATACACACTTGTTCAAAGGTCGACAAATCCAAATCAATCATTTCTGAACGGCGGTAGTAATAACTGTTAAAGAACTCGTTCACGGCGCGCTGGTAATAGTACAGCAGTGTAGTAAAGCCCCCCGACCTGTCCCGGTAGTTGTCGCTCGAAAACGGAAGTCCATCCGTGAAGATATATATATGGTACTAGTATGTATATACTTACTACGTAACGTTAGTATATATATATTTGCTAACGTGCGTCGCAGTGATCGCCCTTAACTTCTCAAGTTTCTCGTTTCAAGCCTCGCATTACTGTACAATATGTAATGCATGGTTCATGCCATACATATTAAACACAAGAGTTCCAACTCAACACACATGGGACAGTTTACCTCACATATATTCTTCCTTTTATTTGTACCCTATTACCCTCTAAATGCACTTTGCCTAGTGCTGTGGGGGCACCACCATCTTGTCTAGGTACCCGCCCTCGTGACACAATTCATAGAAGATGCCGGCGCCTGCGCCGATCAGCGCCGCGGGGGTGTCGCATTGGGCCAGTCGGCCTTGGTCAAATACAAGAATGCGGTCGGCGTCCAGCACCGTGTCCAGACGATGGGCAATTGTGAGCACAGTCGACGTCGCAAACTCGGTGCGGATCACGCGCTGAAGGTTCTGGTCCGTCTCGTGGTCGATGGCCGCCGTGGCTTCGTCCATCACGACGATGCGCGCTTGGCGGAGTAGCGCCCGCGCCATGCACAACATCTGCCGCTCGCCCACGCTAAAGTTCTCTCCGTTCTCTTCCACGGGGCTGTCCAACTTGCCGTCCACGGCGCTGATGCGGTCGGCCAGTCGCACCTTGTGCAGACAACCCCACAAGTCGGCGTCCGCAAACTCGCCGAACGGGTCCAAGTAGTTGCGCAATGTGCCTTTAAACAGCACGGGGGCCTGGGGGATGATTGCAATGCTGCTCCGTAATGTCTTGACGCCAACATGGGAGATGTCGACGCCGTCGATCTTGATGCTGCCCCCCGCCAGTTCGTTGATGCGGAACAGCGCCATGGTCAGGCTGCTCTTGCCAGCCCCCGTCCGCCCCACAATGCCGACCTTTTCACCAGATTGAATGTGCACACTCACGTCCTTGAGCACCATCGGGTCGTTCTCTTTGTATCGGAAACTCATGTGGGCAAACTCGACTTCGCCGGTCGTGGGCCAGTCCTTGGCTACAGCACCGGAAATCACACGGGGGGCTTCGGGCTCAATGTTGCAGTACTCGGAGACACGCTCGGGGCCAACCATGGCCGTTTCGAGCTGGGACCACGTCGACACAATCCATTCAAACATGGGCAGAATCGTAAAGCAGTAGTTGAGCACGAGCCCAATGAGCCCCGGACTCACATAGTATCGCATGAGCACCAACGACACGGACACTACAAGCAAGAGGCACGCGCTGAGCAGCTGAATGCGCAGCGAAAACCACTGCGTAATCACTTGGGCCGCGAACGATGCTTCGTTGTTAGTGTCAACATTGCGAAAGTGCATGCGCTGGAACCGGCGCACCTGCTTGGGGCCGAACGCGCGAATCACGAGCGTGCCTTCAATCGACTCGGAGATCAAATTCAGGAGTGGGGACTTGGTCGTTTTGTTTACGCGCTCCATTTCCCGCGCCGGTTGGACGTAGAATGACCCGATGACCTTGTACACGTACAGCAGCGGCAAAATCAAAAGCCCGAACGACTTGACCACAAACAAAGTCGTGGCAAGAGCAAAGATGGCGTTGAAGATCATAGCAAGGAACGCGCTGATGCTGAACGGTATCGCAGTGTCGACCGTGTTGATGTCGTTCGAGTACCGGTTGAGGATGCGGCCAAGGGGGTTGGTATCGAAAAATGTCATGGGTGCGCGCATGAGAGCCGCCGTCATGTTCGCAAACAGCAGGCGGGACGCGCGAAGGCCCGACGAGTAGATGGACAGCGTTCGTAACACCGTCATGATGATCCCCCCAAACGACAAGGCAGCGTACACGCACAAGTAGTACCCTGCTTGATCGAGGAATTCGTCGGGCGTGACGATCTTGGTCGACGCGCTCCACGAGCTGAGCCAAAAGTCGCTAGACACTGACAGCACCTGCCACACCCCCAAGAAGGAAACCCATACAAACAGCATTTTCCACCCGCCAATCGCTTGCAAGTACGAGTCAAATACTTTGGATGAGACGCGACCTTGCGACCGGCCTTCTTCTTGGACGAGTTTGCCCGTAGACTGCTCCTCGTAGCTCGGACCAGAGCTGCCAACGTCGCTGGGATACGGTGTGAAGGGCACGCCCTCAAACTGCTGGGGGAACGGCGTGGCCACCGACGGGGTGAGCAGGAGGTCCCACTGCTTGGGGTGGCTCGGTTGGTCCAGGGATAGGGGGGACGACGATTCGTCTTCCCGGTAGCCGCGGCGGCCGGACAGAGGGGAGACGAGAATAGGCTGGTCGGCCTTGTCGCTGTCCACGACAGTGGTTTGAATCAGGTGGCCGCTCTTGATTTCGACAATCCGGTCGATACACTTGGACGCGATGATTTCCGGTGAGTGCGTCACCAATATGACTGTCTTGTGGCGCAGCAATCCGAGAAAACACTTGGTGAAAATCTCGTTTTGCACGATCGCGTCCACAGCAGACAAGGGCGAGTCCAGGATGAAAATGTCGGCGTCGCTGTAGCACGCCCGGGCCAAGCTGATGCGGGCCTTCTGTCCCCCCGACAAGTTGACCCCCTTCTGGCCAATCTCGGTCCGGTCACCGGCAGAAAACAGCGCCAGGTCTTTCGAAAGCGCACATACTTCCAACACGTTGGTGTACTTGACGCGGTCGTAGGGCTTGCCAAAGAGGATGTTTTCACGGATGGTCATGTTCTGAATCCACGCCTGTTGGGAAAAGTACGCGACTTGGCCGCCCACAAACACAGTGCCGTCCCCAAATTTGTCCATTTCCCCCAACAAGGCGGCACACAGCGACGACTTGCCTTCGCCCACCGACCCGTGCACAACCACAAACTCGCCTCGCTTGACGGTCAAGTTGACGTCCTTAAACAGAGGTTTGCCAGCGTCCCAGCCAAAGCTGCAATTGTCCACGCAAATGTCGACATTGCCATTGGCGTATACTTCGACCATCTCAGCGGGGGCAGACGAAGGGGTCAGCACGATGTGCGTCTTCTTTTCGTCCATGTTGAGGAAATCCATGATGCGGCGAAGGGCCACCGCGGCTTGCATCAAGTTGGCAATGATCGACGGAAGCGTGAGCATGGGATACTTGAGCAAATTGAACAGCGTGAGCGCCGTAAACACCTTGGTCGCGTTCAATGGCTGGCGCATCACGATCGTGTACGTGGCAAACGACACGACGCTCACAAGCACGGGCGCCGAGTACAAGCACCCAGTCATAGAGCTCGACACGGTGAAGATTCGCCACAGCGACTGGAGCTCGCTGTCGCGCTCGGTCTTGATTTTGTCCTGGAACTTCTCTTCCCATGCATTCAGCTTGATGATCTGCATCGCGCCAAACACTTCGTTGATAGACTTCATGCGCGCGTCCTTGCGGGTCATGAGCTCCTTGAACGCATTGCGCTGCGCCGTGGCGAGAAAGTTGTTGAGGATCAGCGTCACAAAGATGACGCCGGTGCCGACAAACGTCGCCCATCCGATGACGTCGTACAACATGTACAGTGTCACAGCGACTTGGACAGGGATGAGCCACAGTTGGTTGGCAAAGATGGAAAAGTTGATCATCGTTTGGATATCGGTGGAAAACATGTTGGCGATGTCCCCCGCGGTCTTTTCGCGGCGGCACTTGGCGTCCAGCACGAGCGATTTGTGAAACAGCAAGTGCTGCAATGCGGACGTGATTTTCACCGTGACCAGTTGGTTCTGGAACGTCGCGTGCGCCGTGATGACGGCTTGCGCGACCTTGACGACGAACAGCGACACGATGGACACGAGCACCCCGCGCAGGTTGAACGAGTCGGGCACTTCCAGTGCCGTGAGGATCCGCTTGAGCACCACAGGGCCGTACAAAGTGCAGCCCACGGTCAGCACTTGCATGGACCCAACCACGAGAAACCGCCATCCGTACGAAGCCACGATCGCACGAACAATCGACCGGGTGCGCTGGAAGTGCGGCTCGAACGTGGCGCTAACTGTCTTGCACTGGTTGTCGACCTGTAGGGGCCAAATGTCGCGCGCCGAGAGCTGCCGCGCGTTGCCGAGCGAGAGCAACGGCGTGGCCCACGTGTAGAGGATGCGGGACACGAACCCAGCGTTGTCCTGGGGGTGGACCTCGTGGCTCCGCGACTCAAAGTCGTCGGCCGCGCTCACCGATTGATATGATACCGCCATGGCTAGTGGAAAAATGGAGCTTGGACTGATGCTGCTGATCGGTACTGTATTGCAGGGACACATCCATGGAGACGATGTGCGACGGGCCATCCATCATCCCACTGTCGGGTAGCCGCGGAGTGACCGATTGTCTCGGAGATTGGTAAATAACGCTCTGCAAGCGTGCAAGTTGCAAGCTACGTACAGTACAGTAGCTACAGTACGTACGTACTAGTTATTCAACAGCTATATAAATGCAGTACAGTAGCTACTGTACTTGAGTTTGCACCGTCGCCACGAAGGCAAGGACGACGATGTCCCGGCGGCCACGAGCATGTGCTTGATGACCTTTCCCCGAGACAATGATTTGGTGCTGTAACATTTATATTACTACAGGATAAGGCTATTATGAAATTTCAGTGTTCAAAGTGCAGTTTTGGTGGCATATCTTAAGAAGAACGACATATTTGGATTGAGTCAAACAAGATGGTGAGCAATTCTGCGCATAACTAATTGACAAATGAGCATTCAAATTAGGCGACCATCATTGAGCCATCATCATGGACAATCAATCTGGGGACATTCAGACCAGATTGTCTTCTGTTATAAGAACCCATTTGTTCGATGATTCGATCTCGCTTGATTTTTGGTCGTGGGGGGATTGGAGTGCTGGCCGGGGTAGACGGAATACCTATGGTACTAGTATGAAAAGCACGCCGGAGAAACGTGTACACAGCCCTGGACATAGAAAAACGAAGCAGATGAGGGGGTCTCTCCACATCCCAGTTCACTTTGAAGTTGTCGACCGCAACGCTGTATCCAGTTGGGTGTACCGGTACTATACCCGCTACAACACGAGTGACAACGTCGGAACAGCAGCAGAAAAACATACCACCTCAGATTGGAAATGATCGATAGCTTTACCTATTACGTACAATAATTATTACATTATACAGGTATTGTAATATTTGCTAAACCGCATACCTCCGCCTAATCCTCTATAATCCGATAAGTTCAGGAGAAATCAGATATGGATGTATAGATATTATACGAAAGCACAGTGAAAATTGAGCATCATTCCTGATCGGTTTCGACCATAACTTCTCAGATACTCTAATTAGGACTCTCAGAGCTTTAAAATCGGATTTCTAGTGAAATTCCCTACATGGCAGTCAGTACATGTATACGTGTACCCATCGTCAAAGCAATACAGTATCTCAGTCAAAATTGGTTGTACAAGGAAGGGCTCAAGGCCAATAAAGTGAAACCTATCAATCATTTCCAATCGGAGGTAACGTAAAAAACCAATTTAAGATAACTTAACCAATTTAGGATAACTTTGTATTGCCCAATCACACCTCGTTATTTGTTCGAGTCAAAACCTCTATCATATAATGCTGGCCATTCCGTCACGTGAATGAAATGCAAAAACGGCGTAGAAGCCATTGGTAATAGTCATTCAAGATTGGGTTGAAGTTCCCTAGTCGACACGGGCCACATTGTTGGATCTGAGGTTTTGTCGAGAGTTAAACTCGGTGGACATCCCTCCACAACAGAAATTTAACTCTATAAAACAGTACCCTTGTATAAATTATATGCAACCTGTTGTAACCGCTTACCCTAAACACAAAATTTCAATGCACAAACACATACATACTTTAAGATAAAAAAAGTTATCCTAAATTGGTTATCAAAATGTGAGTACAAATGCTTAGAAAGTAATAAATTTATCTGTGAAGTTCATCGCCTAAACTGATGATTCGATTATGAACTGAAAGAGGCGCGTCTTGTCTATTGGAATCACTATTGAAAACTCAAATATCGTAACGGATTCAAAAGTTATGTCCATTCTACTCCGACGCCTCCAAAAAAGTTATCTTAAATTGGTTTTTTACGTTAGTACAAATCCTTGCAGCCTGACTTTCTCAAATGTGAAATAACGTAGGTTTAATAAAGGATTCATTTATCCGGAAAAATCGTTGTGAATGCCGGATATCCATCGTGCGAAATATATGCGGGACGGCACCTGACAAGATAAGCCGACTGCCACACAAGAGTTCCGCCGCCGCCTTGACAGCATGGTTCGCAAGTGGGCTTACGATTTGAACGTTAACACCGGGTCTGCCGATCCTCTAGGGTACAACAAACACGTGGCCCTGGTACGTGCTTTGTCTGTGGCGTGATGGCACATCATAGGCATCGTAGGAGCACAATGCTGTGACCACAACCTCGGCCAACGACACGCTCGACTTGAAGCAAAAGGTATGTGCGTCCGTGTACAGACCGTGATGCGAACGTTAACTGACGCATGTATGCTGTAGCGCGCATCAGAGATTGCCCAAGCACCGTTCAAAGGCCTGTTCCAGACCGGTCTCATGATGTACATGAGTGGGTCGTCGATCAACATTTTCAGCATCATGATTACCGCCATGGCGATATTCAACCCTCTGAAAGCGCTCTTCAACGTCAACGGCGGTACAATGGCACCGTCTTCTCCCCACCCTCGCAATCGCCTCACACGTTTCTTCCACCATTAGCCTTTGCATCGCTTGAAGATGGCAAGATGAACTTGGCGCAGTCCAAGGTCACGTTTGTCGTGGCCAACTTGGTGGCGATCGGGGTCGCGCTCTACAAGTGCGGGACCATGGGTCTCTTGCCCACCACAAGTGCTGACTGGACGTGGCTCCTCCCCGTCAAACAAGTACGTATCCGCCATCGAGGGATCCTTTCATCATTGCTTCCTATAGGCATTGGAAACGTCGGCATCGGCTACCCCCGTCTACTAAAACACTTGAGAGAGTGTTCAAGCAAACGGTCCTAGTATCTTGATCTTTTCATGTCGAAATAACCTCGAAATATAGCCGATACGATAATTTCCTTTTTTGCACGAATAAATAATATTTAGATATTGGGGTGTTAAATAAGAATAATACTGCGGCGTCCTCAACGCAATCGCTGATTGGTAGGAATCGAACGATATCATTGGTCACGACAGGTGGCGTCCCCCCGTCTCGGGGGGGCATCGGTACGGCTCTGGCACCATGCTTCGCTGCAGTGGGTTGAATGAGGCAAACTTGCGTCGGCCAGTGTTTTTGCGGCAATTTTCAATGCGCACCCCTCTGGATCGCATGGTTGCCACCATGTCAGGGACGTTCTCCAGCGCCAAGTCGTGGTGCCAGCTCAATAGCATGCCTACACCGAGCCAAGAGATTTTAATTCATTGAATGTGGTTTTAGAGAGGACGAGGGGGGGAATCCACAGCATATACAACTGATTGATACACGAGTATTTTTCCAGCTAAACAACTAGCCAACGAACGACACCGTACCTTGCTCCAACGTCACCGCCATGGCCGTCCGGTCCTTGCCGCTCGTGCACACGGTGACGCGGCCGCCGTCCAAGTGCCGGACGAGGCGGGAGCTGGCCTGCAGCACTTGGGGGTGTTTGCGGCGTCCGGAATTGCTCACGTGGACGGCGTCGGTCAGCTCCTGCAGCAGCACGCGGGCACTCGTGTCGGCGGGTACGAGGTCGCAGAAGGCGGCGACGACTGACTTGAGGCGCTGGAGGGCCGAGTCATTGATGTGGTCTTGCAGCTTCTTCGGGTACGCGGCCATCGACATGTTGGCTAGCGATTGCTTGTCGTTGATGCCAACGTTGAACAACAACGGATGGATTGAAACCAAACAGCGCTTGGGGATGAGCACTTTGCCGCGGCTGCGCACGACCACCCGCAGCACAAAGTCCTATTCATTTTTTAAATAAATTTGATATGTATCAAAATTGTTGTCAGAATTCCCCCCATGATCAATAATATTGTCTTGTATATATATATATATATATACATGCGTACAACGCGTCCAAGCCATTCGATGATACTCGTTTTTGAAATCCAGACATATGCAAGGTTCTTTCACATAGTACAGACCATCAAATCTATAAATATATATATATATTTATAAAGTTTCCAACTGCAACGCATTCAGAAAGCCCATATTGTTCACAGATATACCAAGTATGGATGATAAATAGGATATATGTACGTTGGTTTACCGTGTCGTCCGACTTGGCGTGGTCGTGGCGGCGGTGGCCGGCGACGGCATCGTCCACGTTCGTGTACAAGTCGACACTCTCCACGACCTGTCCTTGTGTGTCGCTGGCATTGTCGGCATGGGGCACGAGTAGGATGCGGAATGTGCCCACAGTTTGCATGGCCTCCATCATGTCTTCCAGCATGCCCAGCTCGGCGCCGTACGTGCTGAGCAGCGACTCCACGTGAAACACAAAGCCCAGCTGGATCAGGCGCTCAAACTGCAGCGGTTGGTGCACCAGCCGACGTAGGGTCGCCGTCAACGCTGTCGCAAGGGCCGCCAGTGCCTGGGGCACGCACACGTCGAGGCGGGTGTGCACGGTCCACTCCAAGTCGCAGCGGCGGCGCTCGACCTGCGACAAGTACTGCCACGTGGTGGGAAACAACGACGACGACGACGACTGGCTCCCCCCCGATATACTGCACTTGCTGGCTTCCTGGCGCAGCGAAAACACCCCCCCTTGCTTGAACTCGTACACGTGGGCGGCAAACGCCCCCACGGTCGTCGTGTCGTACAAACAAACGTCATGTAGCTGGGAAATGCGATGGGGATAAAGGTTGGAAGGGGGGAGGTTCGAAGGTTTTGGGGCAACGTGCATTGTCTGCAAGTGCAAATTCAACGGAATGCACGCCAACTCGACATGTTTCTTGAGCAAACTGCCTTTGAACCGATTCGGACATGACGTGGCATGTTCTCGTGCCCACGTCGCATGGCGACATCGTCGCAGGTGACTCACGTATGCCTTGCGCACTGTCACACGTGCTTGTAGCCTAGGTACAACCTATGAGTAGTCCAACCCATACACAAACGGCAAGATAGATCCTGCAACCGCCATTTTCATACGCATCCATATTAGTTTGGATTTCGACTAAATTAGAGAGCGACACACATGGAAAATATAAAAATAATAGAATAATTTGTTTTCATTAAATATATTTATTTTTTATAATAACGTATTAAATAAGACTGGAGGAGGAAATATATATCATCGACACAAATGAACTATTTAGAACAAGAATCGACACAAATACAGTAGTAAGACGGACCCCATCATCCGATTGCAGGAAACCAATATCGACATCGAATTCGAGTGTGACTTCAATTAGTGTACGACGTGAATTAGTGTGAATACAGCCACCATCATTCACATACAAAATAGTATTCAGGACGAGTGTGACTTCAATTAGTGTACGACTCGAATTAGTGTGAATACAGCCACCATCATTCACATACAAAATAGTATTCAGGACAACGTGTCGATCGATCGATTTGGCGATTCTAGCACACACACAAGTCCAAATGTCGGGTAAAAGGACAAGAATACATGCTATCGACCCAAAGCCATCATATGTAGAGAGGAGCACCTCAAAACCAAGCGTAGCTACAGTAGCATGGACACATCAGAAGACGGCCGTACCAGTCTCGACATTGTCTTCGGTCCGCTTCGCCTTGGATCTGTTCCAGCAGGTTCTCGTACAGCGAGCCCATGCCCGCGGCGGCGGTGACCCCTTGGTGGAGTCGAGCGTGTTCCATGGCCAGAAACTGGTCCAACTCGCGACTGGCTTGGAAGTACGCCTTGGTGCGGCGCGCGAGCACAATGTCCAGGTACTGCCCTGGAATAGAATTCGAGTACTCGCTTTCAGTCAACGTTTCCACGACCAACACGTCTTGCAAATGGTACGTCGCGACCATCGTCGTCATGTCCTGGTCGTTTGACGACGGACGACGACGACACGGCACCACCGTCACAACAAGGTGGCATGCAGCAGAAGACTGGAACCGACTGTGGGTAGCTCTTAACGTCGTCGAGTGTCCGTAATAGTCGAAACATCCTTCAACAGAAAACGACGCCACACATCGATCCGGGGGCTGGAGCAGTCGCAGCAGGGGGTCGTTGTCATCGCCGCCGCCTTGTTCGTAGTCGGAATCGCTCGCGTCGTCGTCCAGATACTCTAGCCCGTCCACGATGCCTTGGTACTGCACCGACATGTCGTCATTATTCAATGACACGTCGTCCGAGTCACTCGATCGTTGCGACGGGTCCCGCGCGGCAAACACGAGGAACCGAACCGTGCCGGACGACGCGGGCACGGGCACCACGGACAAAAACATCACGACATACCTACTACTACTGCTACTACTAGTAGAAGTAGTGGGGGGGGACGCGGTCAAAGTCTCGGTAGTGCCCACGCGAATCCACTTCGAGTCCAATGGACTCTGCGACTCGATGGCCACGTAGCAGCCATGGGGAAGGGGCTCCGGCAGCACCAGACGTAGACTCAGCCCGACGACGACCGCGGAATCGTCCTCATCAGTGGTGGACGACGTGTCGTTGGTCGTCAGAGAAGACACGGCAAAAGGGTCGGGATGGAGGAGGCTGTGGCGGTCGTGGGCATTCGACTTGCTCGAGAGGGTTAATGTTGTCGACGGGTCGTACGTTGTGATGCGCGGCGTGGCCACCATCGCATCCTCCGCCGTGTCACTTCGCTCCGAGTTGTTTTCCTTTCGTAACGACTTGGTGGCCGAGTTCCATTGAAGAAATATAAACGAGCATGGGGGGATACACTGCGGGAGCCACACCGTGGTGAGGTACCACCAATAGTAGGGCAATTCCACTTGGACAAACTGCATCGAAAATGCGACAAGGTACGTGGCCGTGACAAGCGCCACGAGCGCCGTGTACAGGCGCAGCGCTTTCATCAGGTAGATCTGCTGCCGCGAATATGAAATCAGGTGCAAAATCTTGGATCCTTTCTGCATGACCATGTAGCCGAGGCCAAGAATGCCCAAAGTGAGCAGCGCAAACATTGAGTACGTGGCGTTGGAGAACCACGTGAAAAAGTGCACGTCCGGCAAGCCCAAGTGGCCGAGGTAGCACTGGGTGTAGTACGGCTGGATATCGGAAAACACAAACTGAAACGTCGGGCCGTTCTTGCAGGGGTAGGTTGGGGCGAGCATGTTGACAGACTGCTCGGCGCCGTACACTTGGGCGACAACGTCGTGATGGTGCAGCCCCACGACCAGTTGAAACGTGTAAAAGAGGCCATTGAGGAGCACAAACGCGCCTACGAGCGCCGCGATCGGCAGCTTGCGCACGCGGTGGCTGAGCACCGTGCCCCAGTGGACGCACACAGACAAGAGCATGGTAAACGCGACGCTGGACACGCCGGTTTTCACGTAGAAAAAGGTGAAGTTGTTAGCACCCGAGATCCACAGCGCATTGTTGACGACGCCGAGGACGAGGCCGGCCACGGACGCGACGGCCGTCAAGTCGCTGAACAAAGCGATGGGGTGCCACGGGTGCCAGAACAGCCCGTGCTTGTACAGCATCACGAGGCAAAACGTGAGGCTGAGCATCAACAGCACGAGCGAGATCCAATTGTACGGACTTGACGGCGGCGACGCAGTCACGTCGCGAACCAATGTGGCGGTGACGGTGCCCTGGGCCACGACAAACGTGGACGGGGGGGCGATGGCGTCCATCGGGATCGCGGCGAACGAGTCCTTGAACGCGGCCTCGGGGTTGCGGGCGCGGGCGACTTGGAGCTGCACGGACGAGCGCGCGGCCACGAGCAGCGGCAGCGGCAACAGCCACACCTTGGTCTTGTCGTCGTATGACGATGCAGGCACGACCGACGGGGTGAAGGAGGCCGATGGGCTGTTGTCTGTCTGGTGCCCAATCCACCACTGCGAGTCGATAAAGTTGAACCCGCTTTGGCTAAAGTTGACACGGAGGATCGTGCCGCGTGGCAAGGCCACGGACGTTGTGAAGCGAAGGGTTGCGTTGCCGACGGCCTGCGGCAGGACGTTTTCAGGCGCAAAGATGCCTTCCGACAACACGCCCGGTTGAATCGACTCGACGAGCAGCACCGACGAGAACACTCGGAACTCGACGTTGGGCAACTTGGCGATGAAATGCAGAGGTTTCGGAGGTTCATGGGGCACTAGCATGCCACGAGGGCTAGTGAGGTTGACCAAGTGGACGGAGAAGACGGACGCGTTCAGCGCCGACGGGGTGTTGGCGTCGACGAGAACGTACGGCTGGCTGGCCATCAACGTGATATTGCAATGTGTGGACAGCATGGGGCCCAAGGTGACCCTTCCAGATGCGTCGTGGGACTGGATCCCGCAGGTCGACGAGTTCCCGTTCCATGTCCAGTCCGTCGGCAACGGGAGGAGCACTTGCTGGATCGACGTGGCGCTGGGTTCGTCGTTGACGAAGAAGACGCGGCGGAGGTCTTGCATGTCGAACGTGACGACCACATGGGCGTTGAGTTGGTTGGGAATGAACGAGGAATACAACGGAGAGAACGATGAAGGTGACGGCAATTGCCGCCACGTGTTGTCCCTTGTCACGGTGCTGCAGCACGGATCTGTACATGTCCACGATGACGCTCCTCTCGGGTCGGAGGGATATGATAGTCGCGACGCGGATTTGGCGATGCTTTGATTCTCGTTGCACATGTCCTTTCCTTGGCACCCCACGTACGGCAAGCATGGCTTCCACAGGTACAGGGACGAGAACTTGTCCGAGTCCAACCGTCCTAGTAGACCATGATATTGAATAGATGCAGCGCCGTCGGAATGGATGATTCAACATACCTGGTTTGCAGCAAGGTAGGCCGATGCACCCACCGTACGGAACGCTGTTGTCGCTCGACTGGCTGCAGCATGCCAAGGCCGGCGTTAATGGATTGTTTTCACAGCATGTTGCGCAAGTCCATGTGCTGTCCTGTGCGTGTGCCACCATCGGCAGCATCGTGTGTAATAGGGAGGCGAGGACCGTCGCCGCCGCCGCCGCCCACCCATTGTGCCGAACAAGCCTAGACACCATTACAGAATGCAAAGATGATGACGGCAGTATTCCTCTCAAAACGAATAATTGGGTCGTGAAATAATAGTGCCTTAATTGGCTAAAATAAAACCAAATGACCCTCTCCCACGTCGTGATTGGTCAGATGGGAATTAGTCACAGTATATTTCATGAATTGCGAGCACTAACTTGACTGGCAAGACTCTTCTTTACGTAAGCGCCACGCACTACCAGTACCAGTACCATTAGTAGACCCATACAATAAGTACTACGTGCAGTAAGTAGCCTTAAGGTTATCGTTCTTAACGCCATCTCTCTCTCTCTCAGGTTATTCGTACTTGACACAAGGTTACTCTTTAAACTGACACCAACAGGTACTTGTACATTTTATAGAGGAATTATTCAGTTAATTTGACCGTGATTGGTTGAATATAATTTGACTTGCATTATCACGATGTCCCGAGAGATGTCGCTTGAGGCGACACTGGCGGCGGCGGTGGCGAGGCGGCAGCGCGATGGCACTGTGAGATCACTGCGTGTCTTGCCTGCATCCAATGTCGACTTTTGCTCCAACGATTACCTCGGTCTCAGTCGCAATCCTGCGCTCACACTCGCTCAGAACCCAGCGTCACCCCATGGATCTACGGGGTCGCGCTTGATCACAGGCACTTCCAGCACCCATGTCCAAGTCGAAGCGGAACTGGCCGCCTTCTACGGAGCTGAATCCGCTCTCGTATTCAACTCGGGGTACCTTGCGAATCTGAGCGTCATGTCATGCGTACCGCAAGACGGCGACGTCGTGTTGTACGACAATCTGGTCCACAATTCGTGCCGCGAAGGGCTCCGATTGAGCCGCGCGACGGCTCTTGGCTTCCGACACAACGACATGACACATTTAGAGGCTCTTCTTCGAGCGCAGTCTTCATCTTCGCGTCACGTGTTGGTGGTCGTCGAGAGCATCTACTCGATGGACGGCGACGTTGCTCCCATTCAAACTCTGGTCTGCGCCATGTCATCCTCATTCGTCTTACACTCTTGTATAGGTGGAGCTATGCGAATCCTACGGCGCCTCGTTGGTCGTCGACGAAGCGCACAGTACGGCGGTGTTGGGTCCTGGTGGCGCGGGCCTCGTCCGAGCTTTAGGCCTGGAACGCCGAGTGTTTTGCTCAGTGTACACGTTTGGCAAAGGGATGGGCATTCATGGAGCTGTAGTGTGTGGGTCTGCCACGCTCAAGTCGTACTTGGTCAACTACGCCCGTCCCTTCGTCTACAGCACGTCGTTGCCCCCCCATGACATGCGTCTGATCCGCCGCGCCCATCAAGTCTGCGCCGCCGCCGACGCCCCCCGCGATACCCTCCAGTCGTTGATTGGTCATTTCCGAGCACAAGTAGAATCCTCATCATGTATTCCCAAGGCGGCGCTCCTGCCCAGCACCACCGCTATCCAAGGCATCGTCGTGCGCGGGAACGAGGAGGCGCTCCAAGCCGCGGCCTTCCTCACCGATCAAGGGTTCAATGTCGTGGCCATTCGAGCGCCGACCGTGCCAGTGAACGAAGAGCGACTGCGCATCATCATCCATGCGTTCAATTCTAGGCAAGAGATCGACTCCCTTGTGGACGCCGTTGGCAGATACTTTCAACACCATCATGCTCGACAATGCGCGTTGTAGGAACAACAGATAACGCAATGTGTTGAGATACCTTGCAAGCAGCACGCGCGTTAGTCCGTCAAACATCGACTCTCCATGTAGTCACGACGATCCCGGGGCGGGTCTTTCCTTTGAAACAGCTCGCGTTCTTTGACTTCGAACATGTAGTGGAACGTGTACACAATCGCTGCCACTGCGAGGCTGCCGATGAAACCTACGGGTTGGATCAACCATGGTCCATTGCTCACCGTAGAGGGATGCCTCATGAGAAGGACGTACATAGTTGCACGACCCACAAAGCGGTCCCGACGCTCTCGCCGTCCAACGTCGTGCTGGTCATGATTGTGCGTGCACTGCTGCAAAAATGACAAGATTTTTATAATAAATGAACTCACATTTACAGTGTTAATAAACACCAGTCGAAGTATTTTAAAAAATGCTTCGAAGTATTGTGCTTTCGAGTAAAATTTCGTGTTGTGGCGTGGTTTCTCGTTGGAATTTAAATCGATTTGATTGGCTACCTCAGATGACTCAAAATTATTAGCCAATCAAAACCTTCTCAATGAAATTCAACCAATCAGATCGATTGTGGATCGGTTTGGTCGGCGCGATTCGATTGCACCCCTCCCCAAATTTGTATCAAATCGACAATATGTAGTTGACTCTCCTTATTTTGTCTGAAATATAATAATGCAATCAAGTTGGAAACTTCCGATTTTGAAACCGTCGTTTTGTCACGTCGAATACATGCGTCGCCCAAGTGTGTCGGGTGGTCCGTTCATAGACACGCCTCTGCTGCCGCTGGACAAACTGGCGTTGGAGCGAAGCGTGTCGTCGCCCATGAACAAGCAGACGGCCAAGTCCCTCTTGTTCGGGGCATCGCACAGCCCGATGAAGGTTCCGTCATATTCGTCGTCATTCACGGCGAACGACATGTACCCGTTTGGGCGGCAGAATCCATTCGAGACCGATTTTGTCGAGCATATGCTCGTGGCGGAGGGCGGTTTTGGCAAAGTGTTCAAGTGTCGCTCCAAGATCGACAACCGACAGTATGCCGTCAAAGTCGAGCAGGTGCATTTCACCCCCAAAGCCATCTTCAACCCCAACGAAATCCGAGAAACCATCCTCCGCGAGGTGCATTTGCTCGCTGGCCTCGACCACGAACACGTGTGTCGGTACTTCAACACGTGGATCTTCGGCAAACTCGTGTCCACCGGTCGGCCCGACTCGGCCAAAAGCAGCACCGCCAACATGGACAACTCGGACGATTCGTTTGGGTGGTCCGACAAACACAAACCGTTTGCTCCGAATCAGACAATCTTGCACGTGGAAGGAGCGCCCTCGTTCGATTCGGTGGCATCAGTATCGTCGTCGATGTGTGGCTTCTCATTTGATCGAACCAGTACCAACGGAGTCGACGAAGTGTTGCTGCCGCCACCGACGCCACAGATCCCTGTTTCCCCAGTGCCCCCTGTCAAAAAAGAGTTGGCAGACCCCCCCACCAGATTAACCTCTCCGCGCTCCAACCTGTCGCTTCAAATGGACGTGTACATCCAAATGGCACTGTACCATGGCAATTCACTGCAGCATTGGCTCGTAGAGCGGCAGTCCATCGACGTGAACGCCAACTTGACCATCTTTCAGCAAATCGTGTCTGGCCTCAAGTATATTCACGGTCAGGGCCTTATCCATCGAGACATCAAGCCTGCCAACATCTTTCTGACGCTGGACGCATGTGTCAAGATCGGCGACTTTGGCTTAGCCACCGACAGCCGCCTCCTCGAGTCGTCCTTGGCAGGCGTGGGCACCCCATTGTACAGCAGTCCAGAGCAAACCCGGGGCGATGTATGCAGCACCAAGTCGGACGTGTTCAGTCTCGGCCTCGTGTTGTGCGAGTTGTTCTGCAACTTTTCCACGCAAATGGAGAAACACGTGACTCTGATGGAGGTCCGCTCACCCCACGGCGTTGTTCCATCCTGCGTGCCTCCAGAAATTGCTGCCGTGGTCAAGCAACTGGTGCACCCGGACCCATCGAAACGCCCCACGTGCGAAGCCATCGAACTCATGGACGAAGTGATGCCGTTTCTACTGCATTCCATGCCCACTTCGACCACAGACAAGACATCGCATCGGTATAGCCGACGACGCTTTTCCATGGACGAGCCAGACTCGGGGGTGCCTGTGATTCCCTTGTTTGCTCCACCGAGGAGCTTGCCACACCCTCTGCATTCGTTGCTGGATGAACTCGAGAAACTCATCGGGCAGCAAGAAGCAGCGCTTCGGCAAGTCGGACACACAGCAGCAGCAGCCACCTCTTGGGTTGTAGAAGCCTTGGCACTGTCAGATCGGAAGCGGCAAGTGCTTGCGGCAGTGCGCCACGAAGTTCGAGGACAACCGTCAAGTGATTACCACGAATACGAGTACCACACGTAGATATGTTAAGAGGACATTACGTGCTTGCTATTATGGCCCGGACGCTGTTAATCATTGCCACTACGAGCACGACCTACAAGATACTAGGAGCAGGACTCGCTTTTCCAAGAGTTAAGTCTTCTTTGAGTAACGTTATTCACGACTCATGCTCTACGTATCCATCCTCTGCAGCAAGCACTACATCCTGCCGCTCTACCACCTATTTTACATACTTCCAATTCGCTTTTTCATTACAGTTGAGTGAGCGAAATGGCCATACCACGGCGGTTTTCGACCTATTTCTGGACGTCTGCAAAATCGAGTCGGCGTCGAGAGCTCCGTCGCCGTCCAAGTCAGTCGTTTGCACCATGAAGGAAAAGGCCGTGCCAGGGCTGTTTGGCAAAGCCAAGCCCCTGCCGGGACAACACGGGTACAAGGTGAAAGAGTCCGAGCGGCTCGAACATGAAGCGTCGGCGATGGAGGCCCAGCTGAAGCATGTGAAAATGGGCATGGCTCAACAGCAAGAGCAGCGGGACAAGGACAAATCCAAGATGAAAGGCGGGAACCGATGGCGTAGTGCGAGGGAGGACCGGGGCAGTGTCCGGCAATACGCCCAAGACGTCAAAACCAAAACCCCTTCGACAAAATCAAAAAAGAAAAAGAAGGGGGAAAGCTATGCCGCGGCGAGTCGCCCCAAGGTCGGCGACTGGGGGGTGCCGCAAGTGACCGACTGGCTGGCCTCTATTCACCTTGGTCACCACGCGACCACATTCGAGTTCAACGAAGTGAGCGGATCAGTGCTTCTGGACCTCACCCCTGCCGACTTAGACTACCTCCACGTGACCGATCCGAGTGACCGAAAACTTTTGCTCCAACACATTGAACAGCTCAAGCGCAGTAGTGGTACTGCCTCCCCATCCAATCAACACAGGCACATCCAATCACCAGCACTAGCAGCCCCCCAGCGAGAAGTCTTGGACGACAAGCTGCACGACGCTCCGGTGGTTGTGCCGTCTAAAAAGGTAGCGCACTGGTCGCAACTGACGCCGCTAGCCGACACGGGCGTCGCCAACCCCTCAGGCGATGTGCCCGTAAACTTGGCGGACGGGGACTTTAACGAAGACGACAGCCACGCGTCGTTTATGAATGCATTGTTGGATTGGCGGGCGACCGATCAGCAGAATGCGGACGACCAGGGCAAGGACGACACAGGGTTCTGGACGAATCCGCTCGCAGAGTGTTCCGAGCCCCTGTCCGTTCAAGGGGGGGAGCTGTTGGGGGGACACTTTGACGAAGAGCAGAGTCACGCCAACTTTCTCGCGGCGTTGCAGGCGTGGCGGGGCAACTCAACACAGCAACAACACGAACGCCCAGAGCAAGCGACGGCGAGCACAGGCAGCCCCGTGGAAGCCAAGGCCAGTTGCTGGCAATGCTACCGTCTGTACAAAGCCGGATCGGTGGTGCAAGACGCAATGTCCAAGCACTCGTTTTGCTCCCGTGTGTGTTTGAGCAACTATCACAGCGAATACGCTCGATTCTATACCCCCCCCTCGACGACCAAAACAACATAACCTTTGACGGATAAAGAAAACTATTTTTTAAGCCTTAGCCTTTCTTTTTCTTGGCCGCGTGCTGCGTCGTCATCGTTGACGCGAGCTGCTTGACAGTGGCGCGGTCCATGATGACACTGTCCCCGTCCTCCAAAATCCCTAGCACAATAATCATGTATTTTGCTCAAAGCGTTAGTGTGTATATATGCAAATATACCTGCCGCTTTGTCTCTGGCTTTCTTTGTTTGAACCCGTTCGGTCGACGACTCGCCACCAGGAGTTGCCACCGTACCGTTTTTTTGCATATGTTCTTTTGGGCGAATGCGAACGTTGTACTTGGACGTAACGTCGCCGGGGGCGAGGGTCTACCGAGGAAAGTAAAGCAAGCATATTAGTCCATGGTCAAGACTATAGCCCAACTAGTAATCATAACAAAGAGGCTCGAATCATTTCCATGTCAATCAAAACAATTGTACCGTAAGGGGAGATGGTGCTGCGGGATGCGGTGTGGGGCTAGTTCCCCCAAGGCCGTTGTTGGACGTGGACTACATGAGATAAGTACATAAGACTCCGGTAAATACACTCCTCTAAATGGCGGCTACCTCGTCGTTGGATGGCGCGGTCAAGTCGGGCACGATGATCAGCAACTCCTTTTCGACCATGTGCAAAGCGTTTTCTATGGCGTGGATGTTGTCCGTGTCGACTTTCTTTCCAATCACCTGGGCCACGATCTGCTGAATGCCGGCTTTGACTGGTTCAAGCACTTGCTGCATGTACTCGTACTCCTCCCTGGCTTTGTGGAGCAGTTTCTCGGCCACGGCCAGTTCGGCTTGTGCGTCGTGGAGGTCGCGGTCGCTGGACCGTACACTACCCAATTGGGACTGTTGCAGTTCCGCTTTTACTTCGTCCTACAGATATATATATATACATCAGACTCTGATCGTTTCTGTTGCGGATACAATGCGCGTCTTGGTCGCGGCTAGAATTTGCTCTTGTTCGGCTTGCCGAAGTTGCAGTTCTTGTTTTAAACTGGCGTGGGTGCTGCACATGGCAATGATCTGGGTGGGATTCACGACGCCCCCAGGTACCCCCAGGCGCCAAAACGCGTCTTTATGCCTGTACCATTCCGACTGATTGATCTCCTCAAAGTGCAATGTCAGAGATATGTCGAGCTGGCACATACTGCCGTTCTTCGCGGGTAGCGACTTCGTACTCGACGGCGGTCAGCGCTTTTGTCCAGTGCTTGGAGGGTTGCTTTCGATCGACCTGTAGTTTTCGTTTGTCAATGGAGGTATTCACATTGTGAAGGCACGCTGACGCAGCAGGTGTCACTGCCGCGTCGGCTACCTAGAAGACCAGTCAGTTTTCGTGGGCTCTTGTTATTATTGCTGCGTCATGACATTGCCGTAGCAGAGACATACTTGTTTGGCATAAAATGCTTCGAATTTGGCCTTTTCCTTGACCCATCGCTGGCGAAGGTGCAGCTCGGTCTCGTACAATCGAATTTCCGCGGCAATGTCGGCTTTCAATTGAACAAGCCGGGTCTACAATAACGCATCCCATATGAAACCTCCACACAAAAATACCCATCCAAAGGATCCAAACGGAAGGATCTATCTACTACCTGCACTTGGTTCAGAGCTTCACTAGCAGACAACTCGACGCGGTGGTATTCCTGCAGACGCTGCTGTTTTTCTCGCAATTCGATGGTCAAATCCGCCTTGGATTGAATCAACCACGCTTTCTCCCCCTATCACAAAACTGTTTCTAACGCATGATAAAACCCAAAATGTATGTCTACCTCGTGGCGCTTCTTGATGTGTTCATACGTGAGGGTTTTCCGCATCACGGCGATCGTGTCGACGCCTTTGAGTCTCAATTGCTCTTCCAGCGCCCGAATGTTCTACACATCGTTACATGCTACGTAACCTACCATTGAACTTGCACGGTTTACCGTCTTTTTCGCATACAACGGCCGTCGGCTCACGGATGAGATGGACTCCAACCGGTCCGACGGGTCAGGGAACTCGTTCATGCCCAAGGCTGCGCAGTCGGCCCTTAGATCCTGCAGGGCCAGCTTTAGTTTGTCCAGCTCGTCGCGCTTCTTTTCGACCGTGTACTTGAGTTTGTCGCATTCTGAGCGCTTCCCGTCTACAACCTTTCGGATCGCGCCTTCAAAGTCCTTGATCAAGTCGGCGCTCGAACTCATTTTGCGGCGGTTCCGACTCACAATGTCGGCAATTTTCAAGTGGCCAGACGTGGATGGAGGAGGGGGTGCTGCCAACGGACTTGCCCAATCCTCCCCCACAGGCGACACGGCATCCGCAGCCGAGCCCGGCCGTGGACCCCCCGCGGGGGTGAACTGGCTGCCTGGCGGTTTGCGAGTCGCGCCTCCAGCCGTATTAGGTCGCTTGTCGTCTTGGGTCATGTGCAGTTCGCCTTGATTGTTGTGCCAGTTACATTGGTTGTTTTCCAGCGGTTTCAGCCGTGTCAGGCCAAGGCGTCATGATTGATCCCTTCTTGTCAATCCTACGGGTAACTTCTGCGTGCCCGAAAATGCAAGCAAGCTATCCTTCACTGGTGATGTATATACTGTGTGATTTAACATGATGTGCGTGACGAATGTGCGCTGTAATTCGCCAGAAGTTCCGTGGCACCGACGTAAACTGACAGCTGGAGGTGATGATGGGCCCACAGGCAGCTAAGACATCCCCTCCCCTCAAGGGGTTCTCAAGGAGGCATATAATCGTTGGTCGTCGATTGGATAGGTTGGCTTATTTGCCACAATGCCCATGGAGTATGCTGAACACTCACAAATGTCGATAAGAAGACTGTGTAGCGTAAGAAATAGGTTTGATAGCTGCTCGACGCTCCAACGTCATACTATATTCCAATACATAATCCATCCGCAAGTCCACAATACTGAATCGAGTTTGTTTGGGTTGTCCAATATGGAAAGAATCCGACCGTCACTGTCCAAGCATAGTATTTGATTGAGTGATGGTTCGTCGTTAACATCCACCATAAACACTGTCACAACAACTCCAACCTTGCGCAACACCTTTCACATCTTCCACATACATGCGGCGCAAGAGTGTCGGGTTCAGCCAGTTTCACAAGAAGCACATAACTACGAATGCGACCATTCGACGCCTGAATTGCGTGCCGTACGACGCCAACCCCGTACACATCGAGTCTGTTGAAGAGAAGGATTCACGAAAATGCGCTCAGCTGCTCTTGTCCATCTTGCAATCGCGACAAGCGTTTGTTCGAGATTCGTCGGGTGATGTGGACTTGCAAACTGTCGGGTACTTTGAACTCGACTGGGTGAAGGACATGTCAGGCCTTCACGTGGCAAATCTCCAGAAGCTCACGCACCATCAGTCCAAGGGCGACGCGGCGAAACGGCTCCAACGCAAGCACAAGCAGTGGATCGAAGAACAACGCTTGATGACGAGCTTGGGGTTTGCAGCCGGACGACTCGCCACCTCCTTGACCAAACCCGAACGGCAAATGCTCCAAGACATGTTGCAAGTACCAGTTGCCGGAGGATACTATACGCACATGGTGACGTCGCCCGACCAAGCGAGATCTATTGCTGGACATCGCCGACGGTATTGGGAGACGTGGACGATTGGCGATGGCGAGAAGAATGAAGACCACCGCGTCCGGCGCATCGAGTCGAGGTCCCAGTGGGCTAAGCGCCGTGCTTGGATGGACGAAGATGACGAGGATGTCGTCGACTTGTCTCATTTTGACGTCGGCGCCCCGACCTCGCTACCTCGTCACATGACGTTGGGCGACTTTTGTCCACCGCCGACAGTAAAAGCTGTGGGGGTCCCAGACAGTGACACGTACGACTTTTGCGACATTGCACTGCATGACGATGACGACGTCACCCTCTCGACACGTCAAGTCCAAGCTACGTGTTCCATGATGTAAACATGCAATAAATACATGCCCCCTTCTCCTACTCTGTCATAATACAGTGTAAATAAGTACGTTAACTTCTTCCGTCCATTACAGTAGTTGTGGAAATAGTGTTACCCAAACGTCACTCTTGTGACTAGAGTGGTACGCGTCCGTAAGTGATGGTCTATCGAACACAACCCAATGAACCATCCATCTCACATTTCCACGCTGCGCAAGAGTACTACATATCGGATCCAGCGATTATCTCAAGATACACGCTACCACGAAGTGCTCTTTCGACGTGAGCGTGACAAGCCATGTGAGCTTAACGTCGTTCACATCGAGCGTGACGAAGGGTGTTTGATCCCCCAGAGTTTTCTTGGTCTCGCATCATCATTCACTGCACAAAGTGAGTGGCTTTGAAAAGAGTGAGATTCCGCGACGATATTGACTTTGCCGAGGGCTTCACTTAACAAAGCTCGGGAAACTCAAACACGTGGCAACGCAGCAAGTGTTTACCCCCCCCACCCCCCGGCGAAGACTCGCCACCTCGTTGACCAAACAACGCAAGTGACTACTCCAAGCGTTAGTGCCAGAACCGGACAAAAGTGGTCAATCCTATATTCAATATATACATGTATGTGATGGCGTTGAGAAGTCGCATGGCCTAACGTCGGCGTCGGTACTGGGAGACTGGTCACGGATGATGATTCAAGGAGAACGACGTCAAGTGGAGGACAGTCCAGTGGGCTGCGACGAGGGGTGACCATGTCAGTGGACCATAATTACAATGTATCATGATAATAGCGTCGAGCCTTCAACTTCGCTACCATGTCGAAGGTGATGAGGGAGGATTCATGTCAATCCAAGACGGCGACGATTGCCCTCGGCATGCCAACCTCTCGACACATCAATTTACATGTATGTGCCTTCATATGTAGACCAAGTATACGTGATATCTTATAGTTATATTTTATTACACTGGTATTATGTTTGAACGTAATCTCACAGCTAAAACAACCCCGTGATTTGGCCCGTGGTTTCATCAACGTCAATGTCCATGAAGCTCGGTCGCGTGGGCAGACCAGGCATGGTCGACACATCCCCCGCAAATAGTGTGATGAACCCCGCGCCGGCATTCAGTCGTACGCGATGGATGGGCAAGACAAATGGACGCGGTACGCCTTTGATCTTGGAGTCATGCGACAGAGAGTACTGTGTCTTGGCGATGCAGATGGGCAAGTCCCCAAATCCATGCGCGGCATACCTAAGCACACACCATTCGCGTATCATCCCTTCATATCAAATATATATATATATATATATATATCAAAATCTTGTGGAGATATATCGGTCCAAATTTCCAGGCCTTGTCGAATAATCGCCGACTCACGAAAATCGACGCGATTGGCTAATCCATTTTTGACTGGATTTGATTCGCTCGTACAGAAAGAGCAAGCACGTATATTCAACCAATTAAAACTTCAGCAAATGTGATTGAATCTTGATTCGCGAATTTTCAAAGTTTATGCCCAATAATATTGTCGATTTGATACAAATTTGGGGAGGGGGTGCAATCGAATTGCGCCGACCAAACCGATCCACAATCGATCTGATTGGTTGTTGAATTTCATTGAGAAGGTTTTGATTGGCTAATAATTTTGAGCTCATCTGAGGTAGCCAATCAAATCGATTTAAATTCCAACGAGAAACCACAACACAATGAAATTTCACTCGAAAGCACAGTAGAACGAGGATATATCGTTTTTTATCGTCAACCAGCAAAAACCGTTCATAGCTACAAAAGTCCTTACCGTATCAGGTCAGCGTTGGCAGAGTCTTCAAATTCGACAGCGGACGCTCCATACATCGTTCTTGCGACCGCGTTGGCCTTGTTCACCACACACATGTCATTCGTGTACAACGTGGCAAACTCAGACCGGTCACCAGAATCTGGACGTCGTTGCATCGCACGTTGCACAGCAATCGCAAGGTCCACGGCGCCCGCGCCGCCTTGGGCATAGTACGGCGCAATGACCTAGCATGACTCCATTCTGTCGAATAGTCCACTCATGTAGCTTCAATCTACCGCGTCGGACGCGCCTGCTGCGATGGCTAGCGTCCTCGCGAGCTCCAATTCGGCGGCAGAGTCATGGGAAAAAGGACTGACTGCCACGACCACAGGTACGTGGAAGGCCTGGGCGTTTGCAATCTGCTTGGCCAAGTTCAAACTGCCCATTTCGATCAAATCGAGGCGCTCCGTCGTGTACTCGAGAGGCAGTTGCTTGCCAGCGACGACAGACGCGGCGCCGCCGTGCAGTTTAAGAGCCCGAATCGTCGCGACCAGCACGATGCAGTCGGGCGCGAGGCCGCTAGCCCGGCACTTGATGTTGCAGAACTTTTCAATGCCCATGTCAGCCCCAAACCCAGCTTCTGTCACCACCACACCAGACGAGCCCACAAGTTTGAGCTACAGTAGGCAGTAATGTATATATATATATAAAAAGGGAAAAGGAACTACCGCCAGCCGATCCGCGAGAATCGACGAGTTGCCGTGCGCGATGTTGGCAAAAGGACCCGCATGGACAAATACTACAGTAGCCAGATACACGAGATTACAGTAGCAAGTTTCAGATAACTTTCAACAACTCGATCAATAATGTACAGTACATATAGCTGTTTGTGGTGTAAACTATTTGGACGATATAATATTTATTCATACCTGGAGTGCCTTCCAGAGTTTGCATCAACGTAGGCTCGATGGCATCTCGGAGCAACGCTGTCAACGCGCCTACATTTCACTTTTTGTTAATTTCGTTGCCGCTATATAAATTGATCGTACAGTTTTCTACACCCTTATGTGCAATAAATATATACTAATAGTATTGTCGATTTGATATACAAATTTGGGGAGGGAGTGCAATCGAATCGCGCCGACCAAACCGATCCACAATCGATCTGATTGGTTGAATTTCATTGAGAAGGTTTTGATTGGCTAATAATTTTGAGCTAATCTGAGGTAGCCAATCAAATCGATTTAAATTCCAACGACAAACCACAACACGAAATTTTACTCGAAAGCACAATACACGACAGCATTATTATTCGTAGTGTTCATATATATATATAGAGAGAGAGAGAGATACGTAGGTACCAGTGACCCCAATGTCGTCGACGGTGACGGGGTCGTCAGCATGGCTAAACCCCACGACCATCCGTCCAATACGATATTTCAAGTCGGGGAGGTCGTTCGCGAGCGCCAAGATCGCCATGAGCTCGCTCGCAACTACTCAAATAGATGAGGATATTATGATAATAAATGAAGAATTATCTATTGTTCATACCGGTGATGTCAAAGCCCGTGGCCCGATTTTGCCCTTTCTCCGCCGCGCCTTGACCCACTGTGACGTGGCGCAAGAAGCGGTCGTTCGTGTCCACCACCCGTTTCACGGTGATCGTGGCAGGATCCAAAGCAAGGCGAGCGAATCTCCGCCGTTCAGTTGGTGTCAGGTCGTCAGGTGTCGACGTTGGTGACAGGCCTGCCAATCAAATCATTATTGAGCATTATCGAGGAAAAATCGATTGATTTCATTTTGCCGTCGCACGTGGCCATACCGAGTTTGGCCAGTCGGCGGCGCATCGCAGGGGTAAACTGTGCACTGGACGACGGCGCTTTGGACGATACTAGCCGCTGATATAAAGTCGCATCCGTGAGGTTGCGCTCGTGAAACATGCGGGCGTCGATGGCTGCCGCGAGCAAGTTCGTGGCGGCGGACACGGCATGGATGTCCCCTGTCAAGTGCATGTTGAACTCGTCCTATTCACTGTAAGGAGCGCAACGAGAGGGAGTTTTTGGCAGACCATGGGGATCGTCTGGGCGTAGCCGCCGCCCGCCGCGCCGCCCTAGTCGTCTGCGTGAGAAGGCAGGATGATGCGAGTGTGCGATGGAGAGTACTTTGAGTCCAAAGATGGGTCCCTGGGAAGGCTGTCGCACACATGCAAATGCATTCGTGTTGAGATGCGCACCCAGTGCCTGCACCAATCCCATCACGCACGTGGTCTTGCCTTCCCCTAGCGGCGTGGGGGTCATGCCGCCCACCACAACGTACTTGCCATTCGGCTGATGGTGTAGCCGCTTCAAGACGTCCAACGACACTTTAGCTTTGAATGGCCCATATGTTTTTAACTCGTCCGCGGCGTCGATCCCGATTTCTGCAGCCAACGTTTCAATGCGCTTTGGTGTCTACACCACGGCTCCGTCATGCATTGAGATCATGCATGGCCACTCACTTGAGCGCTCGCAATGACGCCATCACATGGAGTCGGCACTTGCACCTGAAGCGGAAGACGCTTCAAGTGCCATGTACTCAAGGCTCGGAACCTTCCTGCCGCGGTCAACCATGACTGCCTGAACATCATAGTGCGTTGACTGTGAATTTGAATCATCGAGTTTCGCAGTATCATGTCCAAATTGTATTAATAACTAGCGTTAGTAAAACACTTCTAACAGTAGAGGACAATTGAGAAGTGTAAATTTTAAGCTTGATCGTAGTATTGATCCTTGCATCCATTTTTTGCTGTAAGGGTATACATTCTGGCAGGTACACATGCAACCCCAACAGGTTATGTATTTGTAGAACCAATTGGCCAATTGATTTTTGTTTGTATCACAGATGCGGTCAAGGAGAACATTCATTTAAAGAGGTAATTCGATTCATACTTCGAGTTGGATGATTGGCTAAACTGTAAGTTGTCGTGCAGTAAATTGGTTACTTTATCCGGAGCGTGCTTAGAAAGGCAGGATTATCCGGTTATGTACTCGTGCAGAGTTTTGTTGAAACGTTGCGTCGGTAAATTTAGCCTTCTGTTAGCTGCCAAACCACTGCAGGGAACGACTTGCACTCGGCCCATTTGCCCTGCCACGACGTCGCGTCTACCCAGCAGCGTTTTGGATCCCACCGCAGCACCACCATGTATCGAGCTGAACGGACGAGCAGTAAGCTCTGTCGAGACAGGGAGTTGGAAGCAGCCAAGGTGATCCACCACAAGAAGCTGGGTGAGACGCGGTCGGCCATCGACACGACCAAGCCGAAAACGTCTTCGATGCATCACATGATGTGCAACAAGCGCAAGAACCGACTCGTGGAAGGTACGTCCATCATAGCCGACAGCCATTCCCGTTATATATCATGGTGAAACCATGTAGAGCGCATGGAGGAGATTGAAAAGCACAACAATCTGCTTGTGAATCGCATGGCCGATGTGCTCAACTGCTCAACGTGGGAGTTCCATCCTTCGACATCCGTTGAAGATGTCTCGTATACAGTGTACCACAGTCCTCGGCACAGTCCCCGGAAGCCAAGCGCGCCGTCGCCAGCGAAAAAGTCGTTGAACGACACGTTTCGAACGAAAAAGCTCAAGCAGATTCAGGCTGAAAACGAAGTACATGAGTTCCTCATGTGTACAGGATATTTCGTTGATCATGGCCTCGTAGTCGCACAACCTTCGAGTGCGCACGACGTCCACCCATTACAAGACGACCAAGCTCCAGCGCGAGTGGAAGCAAAGCGTCAAGTACCTCAAGTCTATCTGCGCGTACCCGCTGATGCCCCCGTCCAAAGGCCAGCCCGAGAACGACCGCTTCGACTACCCCCCATTGCGCCCCCTCCTCCTTCGTTCTGGCGACGGCGACGTCGTAGACCAAGACGACCTCCTCGAGTTTTACAGCATGAGTCTGCCCACTATCATCACCCCCATCCTCGAAAACAAGCTGCCCGCCGCATCCTCTCTTATGGCATCACATTATTCGCGCGGCCGGCAATCCAAGCACCAGCGGCCGAGTTTCCAGCCCCAACGGGTGGGCAAACGGCCGGGGTTACCCTCTTTGGATCCACTGAGCCCCCGGTTCAAGTGGGGGCCCAATGGGTCCCCCTACAGCCCCCACAACGCCCCCCCCACCCTCTCCCTCGACCCATCGTACAACTTCAAGCAATGCCGGGTCATTGAAGGCGTGTACTTTGTGCTGACGGTCAAATCCGGACGGTCGCCGTACGGGATGACCGTCGTGGGGTACGACGGGGAAACGTGTCGGTCGTACGAACTCGTCGTGTCGAAGGAACATGTGTTGAAACTCTTGCGCGACTGCATCTCGATCCGCGAAGAATTTTCCGTCGAAATGATCTCGAGATTACTCTGCGACAAGCTCCAGTTTGTGCCCCACGTGCTGTATATCCCCCTGGACGACGCGTCACCCTCTTCGTCTTGTTCTTCGATGCAGCAATCGTCCATCTTTTGCATGTTCCACGAAGTCCCCATCGTGCCGTCGCTGCCGCCGTTTCTCGTGTCCATGGCCTCCACCGAGGACGGCGGCGTCCTCTTCTGCGCCGAGCACCCCATCACCCGCCGCGCGTACGTGTTGACCAAGTCCGGCCTGGACATCGTCGCATACCTCCACACCAAAGCCACCACGCCGGCTTTCTCGACGCTCGAAGCGGCCGCCGTCGCGGTATTGTCGTACTTAGTGCTGCAGAATGGCCTGCTGACATGGCAACTGCCGCCGCCCAAGCGCGTGTGCGTGTTTAAATCGGCGCGGCAACTCGGCCACGACTATTACTTGCTGCATGTGTGCCATGAGCAACCACCTGGCGAAAGTGGTGGCCATCAAGTGGTCATAGCGTACAATGCAGATGAATGCGCGTCGTTGGAATTGGTGCTGCCATCTCATGTGGACCAGGGCAATTGGGAATCGGTACTGGACTCGATTGTATTGGACGTTAAACCTGTCAAGTGCTTGCGCTACGCTCCTCCTCCAAGTGTCGCCGTTCCAGTCCACAAGAAAGAAGAGCTTCTTGTACCTCCACTTCGTACCACCACGGATAGTGTTGTTGCTACGAACAAGGACAACAACAAAGCCGCGGCCACGATTCAAGCCACCATGCGCGCCGCCTTGTGTCGAAGACTGTACCTTGAAAAACTAAACGCGGCCCATGTGATCAAGACGTCGTGCCTTCGTCGACTGTATCAGAAGAAACGGACAAAAAAGCGTCAGCATCAAATCGTGCTGTGTTCGCCGCTTCGGAACCCCCCCAAGGGGGGGAAGGCGATCGAAGAGGCGGCGGCGGCAGTGACCATCCAGAAAGTAGTCCGGGGGTCGATTTGTCGGCACGCACAAGCGTTGAGGAAGAAACGCCCCGCCACCCCCATGGAGGTCCGACAAAGTTGTGATAATGCCAACGTGGACAAAAGCGTGAGTGTCCTTCAAGCTCGTTTTCGAGGAGCGCAAACAAGGCAGAAGGTGGTGAAACTGCAGCAAGAACAGGAAAATGCTGCCAAGGTTCTGCAGGCGCGGATGAGAGGGACGCTGGCTCGTAACCATATAGAGAGGCATCATCGATAACCCCAAGGCGTTGAAATCACAAGTACCTCGTTATTACTTGGTACTCATTGTCGTGAATGAAGGACGTTTTCAAAACATATAGCGCTAAACACCGTAGTTACTACTACTTATTGCAACAATGATAAATACGTCGCTCAATATTTGACGTTTTCCACCAGTATACGCTGTGAAACCGAAAATGTAACCGGAAATGCCCAACTTGATTGAAGGAGAGAATCGTATTGCCTTTAGCAGTAGTCATCGACAGGGTGGGGTTGGTCGGCAATGTAGTCGGTCTTGAGCAATTCGTACAGCCGGTCGTGCGGACGGGCGATGATGGCTCGGCCGTCCTTGACGAAGATTGGTCGCGCAATCAAGAGGGGATCTGCGGACATGGCTTTGATCAGTGCTTCTCGATCGTCGACGGGATCCAATGCGTCCAACTTCAACGCACGGAACTCTTCCGATGTCGTGCGCATCATGAGCAATGGGCTTGGCGATGGGTCGTCTGGGAACAGCAGTGCCAGGAGAGACTTGATCGTGGCCACATCGAGCTTGGTCTTGACATATTCGACGATCGTGACGTCGACTTTGTCGTGTGGTGCGGCATCGGCGTTGAAGGCAGTGAGGAGGTCGTGGGCTTTGCGGCATGTGCCGCAGGCAAAGTTGAGATAGATGGTAGCAGTGGGGGTCGGCATTTTGGACTCTAAGGATGGTGTAACGTGTAACGATAATCTGGCTCCGGCGGCTTTGATTGGCCAGTTGAGAGCATGATAGCGTCATCGGAATTGGCAAACTCACGGTGATACGCCAAATCCATCGTTTTTGTGCCCATTATTGATGGCAATTGAGGTAGTTGGGCACTAAATGGATATGTTCCACGACCTGTGATTGGCTGACTCCGTTGCTGATCACGCCATTGTTGTCGATCACCTAAACTCTACTTCGATCGATTCACTGCTCGATTCGAACCAATGGAGATCTTGGATACTAGAGTACGTAGTACTGTAAGTCTTACAGTTAATTCGTGCGAGCGGAATACGATGATACATGCGACCGCCAGAGTACCACACCACTACAGAGGTAACCCACGCCCACCCTTGATTTGATCGGTTGGTGAATGAAGCCTCACCTTAATAGCACTAACAGTAAGGTCACATACAGCAGTTCGAATCGGAAGTGTTTACCACATGACACCAAAGTCATCGAATTAAGACCTGATTTCCAACGACGTTTCGTTCAACGTTGAAAGTAGAGGACATACGGACTGATCATTGTTTAATTTTCGATGTTGAAAACAGCACCTGTCCCGGTCCCTGCTGCCGCCGCCGTTCCATTAACGCCCACCGGTGACTTCATCGAGACATGGGACGACAAGCCAGCCGCTCCAATGCCTGCCGTGGAACTAACCAAGATGAACCTGTTCCAGCGATACCTGTCGCTGTGGGTGCTCATGGCCATGGTGGCCGGCATCCTCCTCGGGTACTACGTGCCGTCGGTTCCCACGGCGCTGGACAAAGCCACAGTGCACGGCATCTCCATCCCCATCGCCGTGTTTCTGTGGGGTATGATCCTGCCCATGATGCTCCAGATCGACTTCCACAGCGTCGTGGCCGTGGTCAAAGCACCGACTCCCATCGTCGTCTGTTCGATCATCAACTACGCCATCCAGCCCTTCACCATGTACGCGATCTCGCTGCTCTTCTTCAAAGTCTTCTTCGACTCGTACCTCGGCCAGGAAAAGTCGGACGGGTACGTGATCGGCGCCGTATTGCTTGGCGGGGCCCCGTGCACCGCCATGGTGTTTGTCTGGTCCGTACTCATGAACGGGAATGCTGCGTATACACTGGCCCAAGTCGCAGTCAACGATATCCTCCTTATCATCTTGTACGTGCCCACGGTTAAGCTGCTGGCGAGTGCGTCCAACATCGACATGCCATGGGATACGCTGTTGTATTCTGTGGGGCTGTTCATTTTGGTGCCGCTGGTCGTGGCGGTAGTCACGCGCCAGAGCTTGAACGACCGGGGAATGCAATGGCTGCAGACCAAGGTGATTCCTCTGCTGGACACGTTGTCCATGGCGTTCTTGCTGCTTATGGTCGTGCTGATTTTCATCTCGCAAGCGGCCACGATCACCCAGAACTGGGTCGACATCCTCATCATCGCCATCCCGCTCACGGTGCAAACGGTGCTCATCTGGGGCGTTACGTACGCCGCGGCGCTCTACTTTAAGCTACCGTTCGACGTGGCGGGGCCAGCGTCGCTGATTGCGTGCTCCAACTTCTTTGAAATGGCTGTTGCCATCGCCGTGAGCGTGTATGGCACCGGGTCCCCTGCCACCTTGGCGACTGTTGTGGGGGTGCTTATTGAAGTGCCGGTGATGCTCGTGCTCGTGGCTATCAACAACAAGACCCAGCACAAGTTTACCCCAGGACACATTCAGTTGCAGTAAACACTAGTAGTACAAGTCATCATTATAGAGAGGTGTAAGCAAGTCAGTCAGTGTGTCGTGGTTGGGGGGGCTGGGAGGTGGTGGCTTCTGAGCGAGTCCATGCTGTCGGGCAAATCGCATAGATTACATGCATGCATGCCGAGATGGGGGTGAATGGAAGGGGGGACGGGATAGTTGTCATCTGTCCTCTTGAAATGAAAAAAATCGGCATCCCACTCGTACTACGCCTCACGCGCTTGCGTGCGATGCTGCCATGTGCGCCACAAGGTATCATCCAGCTCGTTTGTCAAGCTGCATCTTTCAATTTTCGCTTTAGTCAGGATGCATGTCCTGGGTCCTTCCAAGTGCTCCATTCAAACTATGTGACCATCCACGACGTGAACCACCCCCCGCCTACGACAGCGTGACGATCAGACGGTTCAACCCAAGCGCGTGTGCTTGCATTGCCACTGATAACAACCACGGGCACTCCACCCTGCAAGACGGCTCGTGCCAGGTCTATGACATCACGACGCGGTCAAGCTCGACAACTCGGCCGTGTCAGCGGCAAAGTTCAACGCCGACGAGTTTCAGTGTCACAGAGGCGACGACGGCTTCAGAGACGGTCCGAGGTCATGCATAACCGCATGTGGGTGGGTGTTGGAGGTGTAGTCGTGCCCATAGGCAGCATTGAATCTGTCGTTCCACCTGGAGCCACCGTGGTGTCGACACCCAGCACTCTTGTGCAGCGTTGGTGACTCTGCTGAGTGCCCATTATACGCAATTCAACCAAGCGACCGAGCTGTGTACTGTCGTGAGTATGAGCTACACATACAAGCTGAATCCACCATGCACTGGCCGGGTCAAGTACAACAGCTCGGACTACGAGTGCATCGGCAACGAAGATTTCAAGGGCTAAGACACGTGGAACACCGCCATGTGGATTGATACGATGCCTTGATATGTGCAAGGACGATGACGACGCCAACTGCAATGCCATCACTTGGATCCAACTCGTACATCGGTTAGTGCTACTTCAAGCGACTGCAAGGACCGAATGCGTTTGACGCCATCACCTACAAACGGCCGGTCGAAGCCACCTGCGTAGACGTTTTAACGGTAGGCTCTCCATACCAAGTATGCAGTCCAACATGACGATGTTGGCCATGATAAATTTCAATCGACATTCGAAACCGTCTCAAAAGATCCAAAACGTGTCAATAAAATGCATTTGGTCTCAGTAACGGTATAAAATTGATTGGATTATAATAAAAATTGATTGGATTATAAATGAATTTGTACAGTTAAATGAAGCTTCGAGGGGGTACATTATGTACCACACGAATGTACGAGCGTACATTACCCCCTTGACATTCTGCGGTGAACACAAGAGCGAAACAATCCTCCGAGCAAGCAAAGATATGGCGTACTCGACGGTGTCCCTCCCGTTCCTCAAGAAGAACCGCAATGAGATGATGATGCACGACGGAGACGAAGTTGATGGCTCCTCCGTGGACCAGTTTGTGTCTCCCAGCAGCTTCCTCCTCCCGCCTGTCGCGGATCCGGCGCTGTACTGCCGCACAAACTTGAAAATCGCGTACCACGAAGACAACGATCAGACGTTGAAATTCGACAAAGGGACGACGACCTTGGCGTTCTGCTTCAAGGGAGGCATCTTGGCCGCCGTCGATTCCCGATCGACTCAAGGCCCGTACATTGCGTCGCAAACCGTGGACAAGATCAACGAAATCACTCCCTACATGCTTGCGACGATTGCCGGTGGGGCGGCTGATTGCCAGTACTGGCAACGCAACCTGGCCGTGCAATGCCGCATGTACGAGCTGCGCAACCGCCACCGCATTTCGATCCGTGCCGCGAGCAAATTGATTGCCAACACGTGCAACTACTACAAGGCATACGGGCTGTCGTTGGGCATGATGATGATGGGATACGACAACGGTGAGCCAACGCTGTACTATGTCGACGACGAAGGTTCGCGCATGCGCGCCAGCAAGGACAAGCCCAAGTTCTCGGTCGGGTCCGGTAGCACGTACGCGTACGGGGTGTTGGACACGCATTACCGCTGGGACCTCGAAGACGACGAAGCGATCAAGCTCGGGTTGAACGCGATCTACCAAGCGACTTACCGAGACTCGTATTCCGGTGGGCTGTGCCGCGTCTACCTCTTCAAGCCCGACGGATACCGAAAGGTGCAAGACATTGACGTGAAGGAATTGCACGAGATGTTCAGCGGTCGCCATTAAGGGGGTAGCTTGACCAAGGCAAAAGAGAGAAACAACGAGCCAAAGGACGGGTGTAGTCTGTCGTAGGTATTCGCCACGAATTCGATCGACACTGACCAGTCTAAAGCGATAATGCAAGCAACTGACACGATCAGACAAGAGAGAATGGAAGCTCATCAACGATCGAACATACATGTAAACTCTACGTACATCATATCGACAGCGTGTCCATCGACTCCATTTCCAACGTTTCTTCATGTCATTCTGCATGAGAAAAGTAGGGTTTTCATGATTGTAAAATTCGAAAAAGAATCGTCAGCTGTGAGATTCGAACTCACGCGGGTTGCCCCATTAACTTAGCAGGCTAACGCCTTAACCACTCGGCCAAGCTGACTCGATATGTGTTATAATACTATTATCATACTTATTTAGAGATAAAACAACGGAAAAATGTTATAACACTCACTGAGCGTATTACAAATATTGATCGGTTAATAGTACTACGTTGTGCAATCGTTGAGTAGTTATAACTAAGAATCAATCTATTACGTTTTGTTACAAGGAGATGTTGAGTAAATCGACACAAAGTTGTGAACAATCAGAATGGCGGCGCTATTCCTTGCCAACGAGAGCGTGGGCACGGACGATGCGTTCCCGTCGACGTTTGAATTGATCATGCAGGAGCGCATGGCGAGTGGATTCAAGCCCGCTGCGCAGTACTTTCTTACGGCAATCTGCGACGCATACCCACATGTGGCATCGACGCTGCCGGTCCGTCACTTCCATGAAACGTACGCGTTGGTGCGTCTGGGTATCGAGCGATACTGCCTCTCGAACTACGATTGTATGCTTGTGGAACGCTTCTACGGCATCAAACGTATGGAACTAACAGACACCGTCGACATTGGCGGGAAGACAGCGTCGCAACTGAAGGCGCTGACGGAACGCGGTCGTCGACGGAGTTTATTCTGGCAGGTTGGGGTCCCATACTTGAAGGCCAAAGCAGACGCGTACTACCACAGCCTATTAAACACGTCTCCATTATCATCTCACAGCGCCATCCCCCCGTCCAACGACGTCGATGAGGAAGCAGCGCCATCGGCCAATCAATCTCGACTTCATCGGTTCTGGTGGCACTGGCGGCGCCTTCGCCTCTGGTCCGAGCTTCGATCTTTGTTTGTCGACATCTACCCCGCGGTGCATTTCAGCTACGAAGGCCTATTTTTCATCTACCAAGTACCGCCGCCGTATTCATTGTCGACATCATCGTCATGTATGTGCGTAGTGGATGTACTTGTTTGGCCACACCAAGCACTTTACGCCGTTCTTGCGTGCAATGCAGGTAGTGTTGGCCCGCCTCACACCCCAGGATGTGGTACGGATCTAGGAACGTTCTAGGAACGTTCTTTCACTTTCGTTCGTAGTCGACGTTCGAAACGACGCGCACGCGCCACCGCGCCCAGGTCCTGGCGTCATTAACCCCGTCGGCTTCCGTTCCGAACGCGTCTCGTTCGTCATGGAGTCACACCGTTCGGCGATGGATGTACCAAGCGACATGGGCCACCCTCGATTACTCGCAGACGATCGTCGTGGTGGCCATCGTTGGCTTCAAGTTTATGGAATGGCTCCAGTCCGACATGAACCTCCGTGGCCGACCAAATGCCACTGGAGGGGTCTTCAAAGAAACCTCGTCGTTGCCTCCACCTCCGCCGCCTACGCAACCTGCCTTGACCCATAGCGCCATCTCGCTCTCGTCCGAGGTACCAAAGCCGACGACGTGATATGATGCTGATGATGCTAATGAGTAGACTCGCCGATGCGGACTCTGCCGCCGACCCCGCACGAACCCCGCCAGTTGCGTGTCTGGGTTTGTGTTTTGCTATCCGTGCATCCACTCGTATGTCCAAGACCATGGCGCGTGTCCCGTGACCCGATTGCCTTGCCACGTGTCGTCGATTTCGCGCATTTACGAAGAAGACACTGCCGATGCATAAAGTTTAGTATTAAATAGTAGACTTTGCGACTGCCACAGTGGCAAAGCCACGTCAGCAATCATATTTCGTATCTGGTGCATTTTTGCCCAAAGTAATCAGGGGGAGGGGGCATCTATTGATCGTTTATTATTGCGATAATTGAGTAGCCAAGGCCACATCGTTCACAAGCCCCAGCGCAGTTTTCAAACTACCGTACTAGTTAGTGTATATGAAACCGGTCCATCAAAGTTCCCCCACACCCGAAAGCAGTGTCGCCTCCAGCAAGGTCATGACGCAATCAATACTGTAGCCGTAACCACGTTTTGGGGCTACGGCTACAATATTGACGTAAAGTGGTGCATACGAGGGAGATCAGTATATATATACATGAATATATGCATGACCACCAGAGCGAAGTCTCGTTGGGATAGCATGTTGTGGGCGTAGGTCATTACTATGATGGTCATACCAAGCCACCTCCATCTTGGGCGCCGCGACGTACACGACGAATGCCGACGTCCGTACGATGTTGCGACGTTTCTCGTTGATGAATTTGGCTGGCCTTGTCTTTTCCAAGTTGGCCGGCGTAGGTGACCTTGTCATCAAATTCCAAGTCGTCGTCCATGTTGCGCGGAGCTATGGGAAGTGTGTGCCTCGCCTGCTTTGGCATCCTTCGTGGCAATATGGTCATGTGGACTGTCCCTGGCTGTTGTGCCGCCCGCCTGTGTCCAAACCAAACCATCGCTGGACCAGTGTGTCAACTGCGACACAGCAGCTCGTGGACCCCCATGCGATACTGTACTTGCTCGAACAACGACGACTCACCATTGCTAGCCCTAGCTCAACAATGGGATGGCCACCAACACGTAACAAGCATATTATCTACATGAGTTCCAAATCCCAGATCACCACCATGGAGTGTATATAGTTAATAATTAACAACACTGTACGTGATGCTAAGTTGAAAGGAAGCCAACGCCATCAGTCGAGAGCAAAGCTAAATAGGCCAAGCTCCGGTGGCATGATTGTGGTCTGGTGCAGTTGTGTTGGCCTTGGCTGCGCTTGCGGCGGTACATGCAGGGTTTACAGGCGGGTGCTGCCTGAAGTGTTTGTGATAAAGATGTACGAGGGTACTACGAAACATTTGGAAATGAAAGCACTTGCTCTAATTCTTGTTATTACTAACTTGGCAACAACCAACGATGCAAACCTAGTACATTACAGAAGGCAACGAGGGGGGCGAGGTTTGTACTTCATGTAGCCTGCATTAACGTTATAGATCAAGCCTGCACCCCTGCCTTTTTCTCAAGATGGCGCACGTGGGCGTCATAGAGCTGGAACTTTTTGGACATGCCGTGGACAATTGCTGCGTACTGCGTGAGCAATGACTCGACTGCTTGATGCTGCGCCAGGACTTGCCGTGTGACGAGGAGGTTCTGGGTCTCGACGCGGTTGAGTGCCAAGTGCACGTCTTGGGATAGCGTCGGGAACTTCGCATGGAGGACGGCGGCGTCCAGTTCCTTCAGTCGTTGCGCCTGGGCGGCCAACTTGTCCACCGACTCTTGCGACGTCAACACAATCGCCTTCTTCCATTGTTGGGAGGAAGCGCTGCCATGTTCGCTTAATGTTTCGAGAACGTCGGGGCGGAGGACTTTTTCATGCCTCTGATCTACGTCAAGAACCAGCGTCACACATCGCTAGGAGGTCTGTCGTTCGTACAGGCAGCATGCAAGCTTGGCATATGCGGAGGATCGATACTTCCCTCGATGCGAGTCAACTTCTCCGAGAGATCATGCAGCCTTGTTTGAAGGGGAATGGCACGGTCATCTGACGCGTGGAATCCCAACCGTGACTGTAAAGCCGCCACGCGCCGCTCCAGCGCCGCCACTTCCACTTCCATGATTTTGAGATTTTTTCTCGTCCGGATAATACTATATGATTGTTATACTACTAGTAGTAGTACTACTTGGTTTTAGTAATCTCGAGTACATATCTCATGCAAAGCTACGTAACCACGTTGCGACGGGATTGAAACTGTGGATCTTTGAATGCTTCGGTGCGCAACACGTCGTTGAGGGCGGCCGCCGCATCGAACACGTCCACAAACCGCGTGTACAACGGCGTGAATCCAAAGCGCATGATGTCTGGCGCGCGGAAGTCCCCGATCACACCTCGCGCGATCAATGCTTGGACGATCGCGTAGGCGTGGGTGGGATGGCGCAGGCTCACTTGGGACCCTCGGCGTTGAGGCTCCCGAGGGGTCACCACCGAGACCTCCTCCAATTCCTTGTCTCCCTTTATCCACAAGTCTACCAAATCGAGGAAGAGCGACGAGAGTTGCAGTGACTTTTCCCGAAGTGCTGCCATGCCTCCCATAGGCGTAGCCGCCGCGAGCACATCCACGCCGCACTCCAGCGCCGTCAGGGCCAAGATCGACGGCGTGCCCGAGGCGAATCGCTGAATGCCATCGGCCGGCTCGTATTCGGGTACAAATGCAAACGGGTTTTGGTGACCGAGCCATCCGGATAACGGTTGCGTACACCGGTGTACGATCCGTGGATGAACCCACACAAACGCCGGTGCCCCGGGCCCTCCGTTCAGGAATTTGTAGCCGCATCCGACAACAAAGTCGGCTTCCAAAGCGTGGACGTCGATGGGATGTGCCCCGGCGCTGTGTGCGAGGTCCCATATGACGAGGACACCGGAAGCGTGCGCGGCGGCGGTGATGGCGGACATGTCTAGAAGTCGACCGGTGCGATAGTCCACGGGTGTGAGCAGCAGTGCGGCGACGGAAGTTGTCAATAGCGACGAGGACAGAAGGTCGTCGGGGTTGATGAGCCGAACTGAAATCCCTTGACGAGAGGACACGACGGATTGAGCGATGTAGATATCTGAAGGAAAGTTGTCGCGGTCAGTGAGCACAACGGTGCGTAATGGGTCTGTCTCCCGTGCAAGGTCCACGGCCGACGTGAGCACCTTGTACACATTGATAGACAACGAGTCTGTCACGAGACACTCGCCAGGACCGGCGCCGAGGAGAATGGTACCAATCTTGTCGCCAACGCGACGTGGAAGTCCAATCCAATCCGCCGTGTTCCAGCTCTGGATGAGTCCTTGACCCCATTCCTGTGTCACGACTTGATGCAATCGAGTTGCCGTGGTCCGTGGCAGCACGCCCAACGAATTTCCGTCGAGGTAGATGACATCGTCGTTGGGAAGATGGAATTGATCGCGCAGCGATGCCAGTGGGTCCAATACGTCCAACTCGATGCAGTGTCCGCGCGTGAGATTAGACGTCGCTACCATCGTGAATGATGCGAAGTGTATTCGCGATGTGTTCCATCAAGTTCGAATTTGACCAATTATTCAAAAACCACGAAAAATTCCCAAAAGTACAAACAATTTATAGAATTCATTATTGTATAATTATCCGTACGTCCGGTTACGATTTGAGATTTTGAATCCGCCCTCGATTTGAATATTCGGCCACAGGGGTGGGTGATCATGGCTGATGCGTCCGCAGGATGTAAACAACGGCTGCATGGACTTCGAACATCGCTCCACGGGTTCAAGCAAGACTTGTCCACATCACTGTCCATGTGGGCAGAGGACTTTGACGTTCTTGGGAAGGTCTTGGTGCGGCTTATCGACAAGGAAGTAGCCTCCCGCGATGAAGCTGTCCAGACAGTCAATCGCGAAAGTCGCGGCAAGAAGCTTCTCCAAGCACAAGTCAATCGAATCACGTGCGTCTGGGAAAAGGAACATCACGAGCTTGTGACGTTGCGTCAAACGGTAACGATTTGCATCGTGCCGAGGAACCTCATGTCCAAAGTCGGGTGCGATTAGGTCGCCCTACAGAACAAAACGATGGTACAGCTACGGGAACGGATCGCAAAGAATGACAGGCGCAGCAATGACGATGCGTCTCCGTCAGAAGAAACCCCTCGGAAGGACAAGGTTGTCGTCGCCGAAGAAAACGTGGAGGAAAATCATCTGACTCCCCCGATGGTTTCCGTGACGGCTCGACGACCTCGACGCTTCAGCGTCGGCAGTAGCACGTTGACACGCACGACGGAAGCATATGCAGCCAAACGAAAGCACATTCCACAGCAGCCTCAAAGGTACATATCCTTTGACGGCACAACCTTCCTCATCATGACATGTAGCATCTTGAAGCGACAGAAGTACGATGACGTCACCGATGAAAACAGCACCAAGCAAGTCTCGTTTCAAACCGAATATCCCACTCCGCCATCGCAAATGCACCGTACTGCCGATACCACCGCTCGATTCCCACTGCGTGAACGCCTCACCACGACTAAGTACTATCCATTCTTCGTCATGTGTTGATGTCTCGCTCATGCTCTCCTGCTAGACCTGCTCCCATGCGCGTGCGACGATCGTCGCTAGGCTCGTCCATGACGGCTGCCGCGCGCGTCTTGACTACATCGTCCACGGGACTTCCTCGCAAGCGGTGGAACTAGCTAGTGCCCAAGCGAGCTTATTTAACAGTGTGACCATTATAATCACACGACATCGACCTTTTTGGTTTACAGTTACTCTGGAGTACTATTACACCGTCAACCATAAATAGTGTGGTCCACACTAATTTCCAACCGCCTACGGCACATGTATTAGTGTGGACCACACTATATCTCAATTTGCACTAATTATGGACATGGAGAATTAGTGTGGAATGCCTATATCTTTTGAATAATGTTATGGAGAATTAATTCGATTGGACTGTTATCTTGATCTTTCTATGTGGAATTTGCCATACAAAAATACTTCAAAAATCATACTCCGAGTATCAGTCAATAGAGCATTGAAGTAAGCAGCAGTCATGGGATACAGCCCAAACATCAAAGACTCAACGAAATTGATCCGCACTAATTACCAACCACAAATTATGACAATTCCCTCACACATGCATTAGTGTGGAGCGCACTACTGTAATTCGGAATCCACACAATAGGAATTCCCAATCCGCACTACATAATCACGGTCGACGCTGTAGGGAGATTTCGGAGATGATTACTCTATTTCTTTTTCCAATTGAAAGCAAATGACAAGCTGGATGTTATACCGTCGATTTCAGAGAAAACACTATTTCCCATCCATACACTTCAACACAGTAGCGTTGGAGTAGGGACGGGAGAGGCATACGAAGCATGAATGGATTGAAACTCGTGTTTCGTTCAGTTGTTCTATCTGTAGGACGTTCGGAAAGGTGAGGCTGCGAAGGCACGGAGGGGCTTGCATCTAAAGTAGCACGCCTCGGCAACCTGCACCAAAGTGCCAGCTGCCGAGGCGTGCTTATATACCGGCACCGGTACTATAACTACGTGCTTCTATATTATACAGTACTACTACTGGTACTAGATTTTGTCCCATCTAATGTCCCATTATCGAGTTGGGACATATTTGGGGATGCGGTGGAGATGCTCTAACGTAAGCAATCATTGATGTGCTGAATTTTGTGTTGTATGGAGCATATCTCATGCAGCTTGAACTTACAGCTGTACTACAGTCTATAATTACTGACAGTAGATTCAAACACAAGTCAATTTACGGTTAAATGTTTGGATTTGGCTGTGAAGTTATATACTGTAAATGTAAAGATGTCCACTCCTATTAATAGACGACGGAAATCTTTACCCAGTGGTATTGTTGTGTTTATTCTGCAGTGGTCGCAGGTATCGAGGGGACAAATGCGTGTTTTGTAAGCTACATATTGAATTTTTTATTCAAAATTTGTATGTATGTAGTCCTCAGCTCCATTAAAATAACCTTCATTGGGCTGAATGTCCAAAACTTACAGTTAATATCTTGTGAGATACAACAACAAAACTGACCAGGAACGGGCTATTGAAGTTAATAACCTCTCCAAATACATACAATAGATTTCGCGAGGTTCTCTTGAATGCATAATTAATTGTTGCAAATTCAAGTCAGATTAATCCTCTCAAAAAACTAATATTTGCATGTTAACCTAACCACTGGTCGCCTCGCTGGAGCATGAATCACGCAATCGAGGTGAATATGATTGGTCAGTTGACTTACTGGAGTCCAGTACTCCAACAAAAATTCCAACAAATTTACTGGAATATTTGTTGGAGTAGTGGAGTCCAGTAACTTTTTTACTGGCTATTGGTACTGGTGCGAACGGTTTTTTTGGAGTTCCAGTAAATCGCCCAATAAAATTGTTGGGATCTCAGAACTGCTGGTACCAGTGCAGATGCTCTAACATAATTCATGGAACAATATTAAATTACCAAGGGTTTCTTTGTTAATAATTTTATCTAATCATATCAATTCTAAATTGGGCAAGAAGTCGCAAATTAATTACTACGTAGTACTACGAAGTATAAATGTTCGGAGTGGACTATGAATGTCAACCCAATACAAATCCGGATAATATCCAACATGACGCTTCAAGATTTTATTTCTCTCCGACAGCCACGAAGCGGATGGACGAATACTTGTCGTTATTGACAGAGGGGATGGTGCGTAATGGAGTACTTGTGGGTGAGACATGGGAATCTCTGTGCGCGAGGAAAGTGAAGGCGCCCCCATCAGCAGTAGCCGCGTCAATCCCTCGGTCGAAGGAGCTGTCGCCGGACGAAGCCCAAGTCGCCAGAACTCTGTATGCCACGGGCACGTCGTCGTTCTCTTGTGGTTGATCATTTCTCATGCCAATTCTCAGGCGTGGTCGACAATCCCGACTTGGATCTCGACGATATCGTGCTGGAGATGCTGGAGCGCCGCCACGACCGGATCACAAAGTCGGACGTCGAACGGGCCGACGCACTGCGCCGGTTCGTCCTCCCGACTTCGTCGCCGCCGCCCCTGCTCAAAATCAAACAGTCATCCAACAATTCGCTTGGTCAACCCATGGTGTTCACGCCTATCCAATTTGCCTCATACTTTGGCGAGACCAACGTTGTCCATGCCTTGCTTTGCCAGCACCCGTCCCAGGTCGAAGACGGGCTCATGGAAGCAAGTCGCCAAGGGTATTTGGCCATCGTCCAGATGCTCTTGTCGACTCTACCACTTCTGCGGAATCCCCATGCAGTCGGACGGGCGTTTGTGCTGGCCACCACGCACTGCCACGTGGATGTCATGGCGCACATGTATCCGCATGTCAACAGCGACCTCCTGTGCAAGGGCGACTGGTGCAGCCGCGACCAGCTTGGTTTGCGGTACATTGCAGCGGCCGTCCACGCGGCGGTGGAGCAGAACAGCGTGGACGCATTGACGTGGTTACTGCAGTGGAATCATCTCCATAAGTTCGAGCTCGAACGAGCCTTCATGGTAGCCATGCGTCGCGCAACTAGCCAGGCCTCGAACGAAGAGGTTCTTCGACATCTCCCCCTCCTCTGTGCGTTTGTCCACCACCAGCCGTTCTTGGCGTCGGTCATGGCTCGAGATTACAAGGATTCAGACCAAACCAACGCCCGCCAAGCTAAGGCCGTGACGTCGTACCTATTGGCCGACCTCCACACCAACAAAGCAATGTGATTGTGTTAATAATACCACTTAAGTATAATGATGCACCACGAATTTAAATGGGATTCCACGAAATATACCAGATATTTTTCGAAATTAACCGCAATATTAATGGTGTAGTACTCGCAAGTTAATTTAAGGTGCTCGATCCATTTTAAGGTGTACGCGAATTAGCCAATCGATTCCTAGAAAGTCAATTTTTAACCTAACCGCCCAAAAAATATGCAAATAGGTATACAAATACTAAGCTTAAAATGGTGTTGGACTGCTTGATTTCAGCTGTTTGTGGACAAAGTGAATGATAATGCATTATAACAGAGAACATATCTCAGTCATAACTCCCGAATAGGCCTGGATTTTGGCTTCACATAACATATTCCAGAATTATAATATGATACCTACGAGTCGAGTTACATGCCTTCCACGGCAGCATCTTGGAAAAAGTGTTCTGAAATTGGACTTTTACTTTACCGTACCTTTCGATTCAATGTTGGAGTGGTACAGCCAGGAGTACCACTGGAAAATTTGATATTCATTGCCTTTAGACATAAATATCCTTTCAGAAATAATGCCTCTCTACGACGCGATAACTCACGAGCAAACTTGAAGCGACTTCCTGCAGATTTCAGCATGCAAACTTGAGCTTGTAAACTGACATTGACACCTCCATTCACTTTCCATTATGTCGTGGCCGTCCCATCGCAAGCCCTAGAAATGTACTTGTATGATTTCAATTTGAGTTTGATTGCCACAAAGAACTCCCATAAAATTATATTCCTCCAACATCACATAGAAATATTAATTTTGAATAGACTAGAAACAGAGTGGTTACAGCCGAGGACCACTCCAACATTGAATCGAAAGGTACGGTAGTCCTGCTGAACGTGTTACTACTGCGTAGTAGCACGAGGTATCTATTATAAAATCTGCACGCCAACAACCCAAATAACAGTTGACCAGAAGCACAAAGTACACTAGTTACTGGTATACAACACCAATGTTACGTCGACTACATACGTATCTAACAAGGTTATGAGGAGTTGGTGTTGGGGGTGTAGCCGAGCTTGATGGCAATTTCACGCAAGTTGGCCCGTAGGAGAAAGCGCTGCTCTTCCGTGAGCTCGTGGGCGTCGCACATGGTTTCGATAAAGTATCGGATCTGGGTAATCGGCACGTCCATCTCGAGCATGCTCAGTGTAAACGACCCCAACTGCCCAAACTACTCGACACACTTAGCAACCCCCATCCAACAAGACTCGTGTAACTATACCACAATATTGTGCACCAAACTCACGGCTTCTTCGCGACTGAGCACTCCTACGCGGCGTGCCATTGTTATAATTGTTATAATATTATATAACTCTGGAAAAAATGTACCGTCACTTCGAGGCACGTTTGACGGCAAATCTTCCCATGCGCACCGTCTCGGTGTCTTGTGCAGTTCTTCGCCAATCGCCAGCATTAACGCTTTTTCCCAAAACTACAAATATAAAACCAAAAATTTAAACCCCATCATGACCATATATCATAGCCAGGATATTTATATATATATGCATGTATTTATAAACATATAATATGTTGGCCATGATCCTGTTGTGGAGCGTTTTGGTTGGATACCTTGGGGTTGCTCCAAATTACGTGGCCCTTGACATCTTCTTGCACGTATCGCCGAATATGCCGCTGGTCCGCCGCCACTATGTCGTCTGCGACATGGTGGTCTGGCGGAATCATGTAAAACGTAGCCGACAGCATCATCGCCGTCTTGGCCGCTTTGGTGTCATCATGCAGCACACACGCATCGAAGAATGCGAGAAAGCACTGGACGAGTCGGCGGAATTTGAGTGGACACGCCACTTTTGTGCCCAGACTGCGCTGGCGGTTCAGCGTCTGTACAAACAGTTGGCGCGCCTCGGCAGAACTGCAATCTGCGACGGCGGCGGGGGGGTCGTGCTGGTCGTCGTCCAGTACTTCGCTTTGGTCGTCGAAATGACTGGACAGGAGCGCCGCCAAGTCGTGGGGAACGTCTGGTTCGTGTGGCAAATGGGCTGTCGTCGTCGTCGTCGGGGGGGGAGGGGTCCACGTGCGTGACCCAGGAAGAGTATGTGACAGAGGGGTCATCTCTTCTTGGTTGGTCCATTGCCAGTCCAACAGCGACAATGCTTTGCCTTGAAAATGCAAATTGTCGGGATGGCGGTGGTTCTACACAGCAGCATCGATTGATAAGTCTATTTCTTTTTTGCTGTTGCTTTGTATACATGAATAAGCAGCTGAACGTCCCCGGCGCGATCCATGCGCACAACGTGCGCTTCCAGCTGCTGGAGCTGCTTTTCTCGGAATTTGATGTGCTCCTTCTCAACGGACAGCCACAGCTTCATGCACGCGCCTAGCTGGTCCCGCCGCTCCTCTTCTGCGCGCTGGTACGCCACGCTTACGGCCATGCTCATCTCATCCCTGGACACGATCGTCTGGAGTAGATGCGTCTTGGCCTGAGCTTTCTCGGCTACCGACCGGTTGACTTCTAGTTCGGCTGTCTTGACGCGGTATGCTAGCCGCTGCAGCTCGAACGACGGCACGCCAATCTCCTACAAGTCTTCGTATATTAGGATCATCCATGTGTTGTTGGGAAGTCGTACGTGCAATGCATCGTCTTGTCGAATGACGGCGTCCTCAAAGTCCTGCCGCGCGACATCGCACACGTCTTTGGCCTAGCATGTCCCGCTCTTGTGAGAATAGATGAACGTGGTCAAGAGAAGAGATATAGATGACGGTTGGTGATGTATATACCTTGCGTTGCTGGGCTTCTGCGGCAGTGTACTCGTCGTTGACGCGAGCGAGCTCGGCCTGCAACGTTTGAATGTAGCTTGTGGATGCCTCTTTCAGGGACACGAGGGGCCGGGCCACATGCTCGTCGACCACTTGCGTCCACGTGAGTTGCTGCGTGTTGAGCGTGTGCAAGTACGTGTGCCACTGGTTTAGCACGCCTTTGACGGACGTTCCTGGCTCTTCGAACTCGCCCAGTTCGCCCACTTCGCCCAGGTACGTCAGCATCGCGTCGGCACATTTTCGTTCAGCGGTGTTCTTCTTCTTGATGAACGCGAGTAAGTTGGCGACAGAAGTCTGTCCCTTCTCCGCATTCTCGTAGATCGCGCTGAATGGCATCTGGCAAAACGTCCGTCGGCTCTGGTTCTCTTCGTCGGCCAACAGGTCTTGCATCCTTGAAGATATTTTCCAAAATGCAACATGCCTCCGGATAACAAAGTATCCGAATAATGATCAACCGGATATTTTTTTCCGTAGAGGGCGATTCAGAGTAGTGAAGGAATAATCCCAGAGTTGACTTTAGTTTACTGGAGCAGCTCGTTTGCAACAGTGAAATGCATTACTATACATTACTCGTCGTTCAAAAGCAAACTCTAACGTTAGCCTTCTGCAGAGGAATGTGTTGCGTTGCCTGGGCGGCTCCCTGCTAGTTCGTCAGGCTGCCACGTGGATACTGGCGGCGTCTGTTGACATATGCGATATGCTCTCTTGCACCCTGTTTGGCTTCAACATCGTCGAAGAATTCGTTATCATGTTTACTTGATGCAGCCTGTAATAGCCTATTTATCGTTGCTTAACGCTTCCTGAAAGGTGACGATGCTGGCAACGCCATACACACACGCCATGACGTTGGTGAATTACCTGATATTTTGGCGCATATTTGCCGTGTGGCTTTGGCTTTACCTTCGAAATTCGGTTCGCGGTACAGCACACCACTTTGGAAGAAACAGACATTTTTCACAAAGACCTGTTTTGAATCGCAGTTTTACCACGACAAAGAAGTGTATGTACTGTGAAAACCATGCCATGTACTGTACTGGTAATGTTAACGTTGACGTTAGTACATGTAGGTAGTATCGTTGGTTGGTGGCCCAACTTTTGTGTCATAAGCAACAGCCCCTTTTTTATTCGGGGCAACTTATACTACTTGTGTATGCACCCACTTGGACGAGCTTGTCCAGTCAAATTCAACGGAGATATGACAAGGTACATACATGATAACGAGACACAAATTGCGTTGTGGGCAACAAGCCCTCTCTTGCTTCTACAGGTACATACATAGATCTACGGACGCTCCCTCCCCGCAGCAATTGTTGTAGTTCAGATAGCAATCCAACATTTCCCATCTGCATGCGCTACTCTTTCTTCCAGCTGGGCGACCTACCCGGTATACGGTAGCTTCGAATTACGATAACGCGGCAACGCTGAATAAATTCGTGCGATTTCATTTCAAAAGTACACCGTACCGAAACAACATGCCCCGCGCAAGAGGATGGGTGTGGGAGCATTACGAGACCAAAGTTGACGCGAGGGGGCGACAAATGACTGCGTGCATCTACTGTGACAGCAGCCTTGCCGGCCGTGGCAACCCCATTCGAATGACGCGGCACTTGGCGCTGTATTGTTTGGCAGTGCCAAGGGCCGTCAAGGCGAAGGCCGCCCACGCTGTGAACAAGCCACCCGCCGCCGCTAGCATTAACCCAAGCGTTGGCAACCAAGCTTCGTCCATCGTCTCCGACGACATCAAGATGGAAGATTTCGCAGACCACGGCGACGATTGGGCAAGTAGCGATGGCTCCGAGGATGAAGGCCAACAAGACAAATCCAGGATACTTGCGGTGTTGAGTCCGATTCAAAGCGAAGTCCACCGGTCCCCGCATCTTGCCGAAAAGGAACAAGATGGATTGCTTTTGTCGCAGTACTTGGCCCCCACGGCCGATGTAATCATCGTTGGTTTAGTCGACACTTGAAATACTCATATATACAACGACTAGGAATTGTTGGCCCGTGCGCTTTCAAGAACAAACTTATCTGCTCAAGACGTGGCCTGCCCTGAGTGGAGGGACTTCTTTGCCTCTGTTGGGTACGTCCTGCCTTCGCTGCAAACGATGGAGCAATTGATCGCAACGCTGTCGTCTCAAATGCGATATGGTGGGGCGAATGAATGAAGGTCGACAGTGCTGTATCCCTTGGATGGACCCACAACTGAAATAGCACCTACAAGGCCCACCCGCATTGACAAATTGAACGTCGCTCGCATATTTGTGATCGTACAAGATCGCAAATGATCCATTTTAGCTAGCTAACGCACTTTATGCAACGTCACTGCACACTGTACGACAATATTACAGTACCACACGCTACTAGTACAATACTACGTAGTATATCGCATTGCACGGTATACCTACGTACTGTATTTTGAACTCTGCATTTTGTGTATAGTCGGGATTGCCCTACTGTACGAGTATTTGATGATGATAACAGCACTCCGTTAAGGATGACGGCATCTCCGCATATCGTCGAACATTTTAGCGTACTAAAACCAGCAATGTCTCTCGATATAGGTCGATATAGGTAAGCAATTAATCTCACAGGTAAGCAATTCTGTTGGATTAAGCTGAGTATTTATAAATGATTTGTTTAATGCATATTTAGGAGTACTAATAAAAAATTGGTTATCAATTACTGGCCAATCAAATGCCGCGAATCCGATCCAAGAATAACTCAACGCAATCTTTCCATCCGCCATCCATCCCTCCATCCGACCTTCATGGGCTCCCTTTTGTCGACGAATGAGGTCGTCGAAGGGGACTGCAACATGATGACCACACAAGAAATCTCAGCGTTTTATGCGAATCTACACACGAATGTCAGTGCCAAGTTTGTGAAAAAACATCGAGTCAAGACGTCAGCAACGGCCGCGTCCGTGCAGGCGATGCTCGTCCAGCAGACCCATCCTTTGTTTGGCCCACCAACGGCGCCGCTAATCCCATTCGGCCGACTGTCTCGAGCTAATTCCGTGGACTCGCTCCATGCGGACACGTTGACGAGTGAGGAAGTGGCCGTGAAAGACTTGAACGCTCGGTGCGATCACGACACCACTGCCTTGTTCGTCGCCATCCAGGCCTTCCAGGCATCCTGCTCATCGCAAGACGAGTTCTGCCACGGTTTGTCTCATTATCGCCGCGCCGTGAAGCTATGGAGCCATCACCTGGCGACTTGCAATGCCCAGTTGGACTCGATTCCGAAGCTCTTGACGGCCAAAGCTGGTGTCGCCGCAGCCAAGTTCGCGTACCGCCACCCCACCATGGACGCCCGGCTGTCCCAGCTGCATGTGGCCAAGGTGCTGGAAGAGGGTACGCCCTTCTACGCCCGAGCGTTTAGCCAGCACATGACGCTTCTAGCGAAGCAGCAGGCGTGGGACGAAAGTTTGCTGTGCAAAGGCACCCGCGACACGGCGCAGCCTAGTGCTTTTGTCGACCGAAGTGTGGTGGAAACGATCTTTAATTTGGTAGCGTTGGCTCCGTTTTTCGACGAGAACCTCGTGCTCGAAGCAGTGCAATTGGCGGACTTGTTCCAGGTACACTAACCAGTTGGCGTATTGGTGTTCCCAGGCAGAACATGAATGACGCATCAAATGAGGTTGGTTGGTTGTATGCTTGTAGGTACATCCAAAGCAGTTTTGGTGGACCGTCGTGCGTAGCTGTGTGACAACCAACCAGGGCGAGCTGCTGCTGTGGATGATGCCTGACATGCCCATTGTGTCAAGAAAGGAACACGTCCAAGCATTCGTCGACGCCCAGCAGTTTGAAACTGCCAAGCGGATCGCGGGGGATGCCAAGGACCCTGCCGAACAAGCCAACCTGCTGGACGTCGTTCAACGAGCCGTTGTTGCCTCCACCCTGCAGCCAGACATGGAACCCCCGCCAGTCCGTCCAAGGCAGGGTAGCGTTGCGAGTTATGATGGTAGCATTTAGTAATACTATAAGTACTACTTATACATCACCACCACTCGGCAAGTGTCGCCACGTCATATACTAGATACTAGTATGTGGGAACTCAAGGCACTGGTACTTGTCGTCGAGTGGTTGCAGCTGCGAATCGCACATCGCTCTCATCAATGCAGTACATGTAAGCTTACATGTACTGTACTACGTATGCCGCATGAATAACTAGTAGTACTACGTCCTACTATACGTATACTATTAATATTTTAATATTAATAGTATACTTCGAAGTAGATGCCAAGCGTCAGGTCGTGATTACACTACTGTATTCGCACAGTGCCACAAGAATTGTTTGTTATGAGAATGTAGGTCTTCCCTTGTTTCAAGATTGAGTGCGATACTTAATGGAAGGGTGTCCATTCCTCCAAGTTTGCGCCGAAGCCAAGCCTCGCTCCTTCATGGCCCCATACAAGATGTAAACTTCTATAGCAATCTATAGATCTGGTTCCTATCTCGCGACGACTTTTGCAATCCTTCGCATTTGCAGGATACTGATCGACCCATTGAATTTACTTTAATGAAGGGTATTGACCATCATTCCGCATTCGGTTTTTGATCGGGTGGAGAAGGGGACTTTTTGAAAGGATGGCGGGTGCCGACAACGTGTCTGTGAAGCTGAGCGGCATGGACATCGCTGTGGAAGAGAAGAAGTTTGGACGTCGCAACCACTTGATTGCCATCGAAGAGGATGTGCAACGACAATGGGAAGAAGCCAAGGTGTTTGAAGGCACCGTGAAGGACGGCCAGAAGAAGTTCCTTGCCACGTTCCCGTTCCCATACATGAACGGCATGATGCACATTGGCCACGGGTTCACGATCACCAAGGCTGAGTTCGCGACGCGGTACCATCGCCTCAAGGGTGAGAACGCGCTGTTTCCGTTCGCGTTCCATTGCACGGGTATGCCGATCCAGGCCGCGGCCAACAAGTTGAAGGCCGAACTCGAGGAATTCGGGTTCCCCCCTCAATTCCCTGTCGATGCCGTCGTTGAGCCGGTGGCACCTGCCGCCGCGCAGACGTCCGAGAACAAGGCCAAGGGCAAGAAGTCCAAGCTCGTGGCCAAGACTGGCGGCGTCGTGCGCCAGTACGACATCTTGGCCAAGATGATCGACGACAAGGAACTCATCCCCAAGTTCACAGACCCGACGTTCTGGCTGCAATACTTTCCTCCATTCGGGGAAGCGCATCTCCGTCGCTTCGGGCTGGCCGTGGACTGGCGCCGGTCGTTCATCACGACGGACGTGAACCCGTTCTACGACGCGTTCATCCGGTGGCAGCTCAACACGCTCAAGGAACGGTCCCGCGTGTCCCGCGGCAAACGCCCGAACGTGTACTCGCCCCTGGACAAGCAGAACTGCGCCGACCACGACCGCGCGACCGGCGAAGGTGTCGGGCCGCAAGAGTACACGATCGTCAAATTGCAAGTCAAGACGCCGCTGCCCGCGCACCTGAGCTCCCTCTCGGGGTTCAACGTGTACCTGGCGCCGGCCACGCTTCGCCCAGAGACCATGTACGGCCAGACCAACTGCTTTGTGCTGCCAGACGGCGACTATGGCGCGTACCGGATCAACGAGACCGACGTGTTTGTGATCTCGCGGCGATCGGCGCTGAACTTGGCACATCAGGACTTTAGCCGGACGTGGGGCCAAGTCGAGTGCTTGCTGGAGCTCAAGGGGTGGGACCTCCTGGGGCTGCCGCTGCTAGCGCCGTACGCCGCGTACGATACCGTGTACACGCTGCCGTTGCTGACGATTTCCATGGGCAAAGGCACGGGGGTGGTCACGTCCGTGCCGAGTGATGCGCCCGACGACTACGCGGCCCTTCGCGACCTCAAGCAGAAGCCGGCGATGCGCGAGAAGTACCACCTCACGGACGAGATGGTGTTGCCGTTTGAAGTCGTGCCAATCATCGACATCCCGGGCTACGGGTCCACGTCGGCGGTGGCCGTGTGCGACGAGCTCAAGATCCAGTCGCAGAACGACAAGGACAAGCTGGCCAAGGCCAAAGACTTGGTATACCTCAAGGGGTTTTACGAAGGCGTGCTGCTGGTGGGCAGCCAAACGGGCAAAAAAGTGTGCGATGCCAAGGCGGGCGTGCGCAAGGAGCTGCTCGACGCCGGCCTGGCCATCCCGTACTGGGAACCCGAGTCCACCATCATGAGCCGGACCGGGGACGAGTGTGTGGTGGCGCACCTGGACCAGTGGTATTTGCTTTACGGTACAGAGGATTGGAAGGCGCGCGTGAGCTCCCATATTGAAAACCCCCAGACATTCGAAACGTATAACCCGATTGCATTGGGCGAGTACCGATCGACGCTGGAGTGGCTCAAGGAGTGGGCCCCTTGCCGCCAGTTTGGGCTCGGCACGAAATTGCCGTGGGATACCGAGTTTGTGGTGGAATCGTTGTCTGACTCGACGATTTACATGGCATATTACACGATTGCGCACCACTTGCAGGTAAGATACGCATCGATAAAGTGTCGTTGGGCTACTCATTGGTTTAGAAACTGAAGTTTTGTGTGTGTATATTTTACTATAGAGCAACGTGGACGGGTCCCAAGGTGGCCCCCATGGCATCAAAGCAACCGACTTGACCAAGGAAGTGTTCGACTTTATCTTTTTGAACGGCCCAGTACCGGCGCAGTCGGCCGTGTCTGAGGCAGTGTGGCGCCAGCTCCAAGCCGAATTCGAGTACTGGTACCCCGTGGACTTGCGTGTGTCTGGCAAGGATTTGATCCGCAACCACTTGACTATGTGTCTGTACAACCACGCTGAGATCTGGGCCAACGACCCAGCCAAATGGCCCCGCAGTTTCTTCACCAATGGCCACGTGCTAGTCGATGCGGAAAAAATGTCCAAGTCCAAGGGCAACTTTTTGACGCTCGAGTACTGCTTCAAAGAGTACGGCGCGGATGCGACACGGTTTGCATGCGCTGACGCGGGGGATTCGATGGACGACGCCAACTTTTCGCGGGATACAGCGAATATGGCCATCCTTCGGCTGACCACGGAAGAGGAGTGGATCAAGAAGACACTGGACGACGACTTGCGCACGGGCGCGCTCAACTTTAACGACAAGATGTTTCACGCCCAAATGGACCAGCTTATCACTGCGACCGCCGACCACTTTGACAAGATGCAATGGCGCGACGGGTTCCAGTCTGCGTTTTTTGAGCTCCAGATCGCCCGCGATGCGTACCGAGATATCTGCACGCGCGGCGAGTTTGGGCTGCACAAGGACGTGATTGTACGCTTCATCGAGGCGCAGACGATCATGCTGGCGCCCATCTGCCCGCACATTTGCGAACACTTTTGGAAGCTGCTGGGCCACGCCGATTCGTTTGTGGCAAATGCGGCGTGGCCTGCCGTGACTGGCCCCACGGACTTTACATTGCTGCGCGCCGGCGACTTTTTGACCAAATCGCTCAAGCATTTCCGCGACGCTGTCATGAAGGGCGACGCGGTCAAAGGCAAGAAAAAGCCAGCGGCGATCGTCGAGCCCAAGAAACCCCCCACGCATGCGCATGTGTACTTGGCCAACGAGTTTCCATCGTGGCAGCAGACGGTGCTGACGTTCATGGCGACACTGTTTGACAAGGCGACCAAATCGTTCCCGGCCGACTTTATGGCCAAGCTCAAGGTGCTACTCAACTCCCACGACGCGCTCAAGAAGATGACGAAGAACGTGATGCAGTTTGCGTCGTTTGTCAAGGCGGACGCCGAACTGCGTGGCCAAGATGCGATCGAGTTGAGGTGAGACAGAGTTGAATATGTGAGACAGTGTTTCATGGGATGAAGACTCATGTGCACACTATTCTCAATATGTAGCATGCCGTTTGACCAGAAAGCCGTGTTGGAAAGCAACAAGCTGTACTTGCTCAAGTCGCTCGACCTGCAAGATATTTCGGTACGTGTCGTTGTGTGTTGGGAATATGTATATATATATACCTTGGTCGACGGCAAGGAATTGATATATTAGTTTTCCCCGAGTTATATAATATGTCTATATATATATCTTGGTCGACGGGAAGGAATTGATATATTAGTTTTCCCCGAGTTTGGCTAATATATTGGTGTTGTAGTTTTACAACGTGGATGGCCATGTGGCAGTTGAAGGGGGCGACGCCAAGAAGATTGAAGCCGCCGCTCCTGGAAAGCCCACGATTTACCTCTACTCTATCGACTTGTAACTCTGAATCGAGATGGGAGCTTGAGCCACCGGGAAGAATACTCGTGTTTCGATATGAATACACACTAGAAAATTGCATATTCGTGGCCTCTTGATGGGGATATATCCACATGCCCTTGAACGACCCAATGGATTGTACAGTAGTTACTGCATAGTACTACGTAGTACGATGTCATACTTGAGTACTACTGCAGTAACTTGGTCGATGCAACAACACCGGGATTCCCACCCTGGTACTGGCTGTATTGGTGGCCATTTGGGATCATTGTATTACTATTAATAGTACGTACTACTTAGTACGAGGCCAAACACATCATCTTAGGGTAGTTCTACCTAGTAGACAACAAGCACGGTCTAGAGCATCGCCACTCGGTCATGAATGACATGATCATTCCCAGTTGATTCTTCATATTTTCGTCACCATACATGGGGAATCAAGGTGGCGCGATGGCCGAGAGCGGCGGCGGCGGCGGGAAACGTAGCGACGTACCAAGCCTTGGCTCGATGGGCCGAGATGGATTGGTTTATGGCGACCCAAAGCGCAATGCGCATGAGGTTAGAGTTGCGGCCTTGGCTTAGGAGGACCAGCGACGTGTACAAGAGGACTTCAGCCCAGTAGAGCGGACTCCACGTGAGGTCGAACCAGTCGCCTTGGGGGATGGCGTACGAGATCGCCGACGACTTGATCGAGGCCAAGATGGCGTTGCATGTCATTTGGTGGACGGACGCGACGAGGAAGAGCGAGAGGCCGCCGAGTAGTACAAGCACGTCGAACCAGTGGAGCGACATGGGGTCGCGGGCGCCGTCGTCCAGCACGATGGACAGCGACACCATGATGTAATGACAGGTGCCGAGGATCAACGCTATGCGAATACGAGGGATGGTGATGGGATGGAGGGCGTGGATGTTCTACCTGCGGCATGCATTGTTGAGTCGCCGAACTGCGTAATGGACACGCTTTCCAGCATGCGACGAAACAAGTGGCATTGCAGACATACCAGGCAGATCAACGTTGGGCCGGAGCATGCCAACGGGGACGACGACATGCTCCACAGGATGGCGAGCACAAGGACGAGGCCATTCCATGTCCACCCCAGCAAGTAGAAGAAGCCAAACCAACTCTTGCGCACCTACACGTCAGTGTCAATTGCGTCGACGAATGGCAATCTCACCATGAACACGGAGGAAGAGCGAGTAGATTGAAGACGTCCATGGAGAGACAAACGGCGAAGAGGTGGCACCGCTGTACTCAGGAGCGCGGTGATGCTAAGCAGTCCCCAAACTGTCTGTAGGATGAGATTCAAGGTCGGTCCATTGTCACGGACACCCTGTTCAACATTCCACAGCATCGTTGAATTTTGCATGAAATCACGTTAAACAATAACCGCTTTTTGTCGGGGAGATCTTCAGTAAAATTGAGCAGGGACAAAACAAGTTAAAGTATCCCATAAGGTTAAACATTGTTGATTGGTCCATTCCGTCCATGATGGCACTCCAAACATCGTTTGAAAATGGAAGTGATCGCAAAGTTCACGCAAGATGGGTTGGCACGCGCCAAGCAGGCCCATCGCCTCTTTGTGACGTTGACTTATGCGCAAAGCTTGGACGGGTCCATTGCCGCTGTGCGAGGTACTCAAGTCTGGCCGTGGCTGCCGTTCATCATAATCCTTCTACCTCAGGCCAAACCACTCTGCTCAGCGGAGCAGCATCCATGACGATGACCCATCAATTGCGCACCATGCACGATGGCATACTCATCGGCATCGGAACACTTGTAGCAGACAATCCGTCGCTCACGGTTCGTCTGGTTCAAGGTACAGCAACAAGCCCTCGGTGCGGAGTCATTCTACTCTTTGGTAGGGCCGAGTCCACAACCATTGATCGTCGATGGAGATTTGCGATGTCCCCTTTCGTGCAAGCTATTCACCCATGATGCATGCAGAAAGCCTTGGCTGCTAGCCGTGGATGGCGGATGGAACGAAGGTAGGTCTTGTGCTGCCCAACCAAACGCGCTACGTAGCACATAACCCACGCCCGAGTAGACAAACTGGCACGAAAGGCAGCATTGGAAGCTGGAGGGGCCGTCATTATCATGTGCGCTGCCACTCCTAAAGGACGCGTGGACCTCGTGGATGCATTCCGTCCGTCGTGATGCATCATATCACCAAGTTTGATCATGGAGTGTAGGACAAATCCATGCTCGTGGTATCACCAGTGTGATGGTGGAAGGTGGGGCGTCCATCTTGACGAGTTGCTTGATGGTCCAAGCCACCGACAGTCAGTTTCTTAGCCACGGCATCGTCACCATTGCGCCACTTTTCGTATGTGTGCTTTATGCCATTGAAAAGAAAGTGATTTATTGGGCATAGGTCGGTGGCCTCAAAGGAGTTGCGGCGCTGTTACCTGCGTATCCACGCCTTCATCCTGTGCAAGTCGCGTCTCTCGGCAAAGACGTCGTGATGTTTGGTCCATTTGCACCGCCGCAGTAGAATGAGTTTAACCTAACCTGCTGGATCGCCGTGCCAACTCTGTACTTTTACTGTAACTATTATAATACTTAGTACCAGTAAACATCGAGTAGTAAGCTTACTCGGAGTGCCAGATACTGCTCATCAACGTCGGCGATAAAGTTACTGTACACTAACGTTAACGTTAAGCTTACATTTGTTATCCGCATCCCAAGACCAACCTGCGGGGAATTCGGCTGCCTTTTCGGCTAGCCAATCGGCATCCAGGGATTCGTTTACGCTGAGGTTCAAGCCGGCTGATTGGCTGGGTGACCACACCGATGTTCCGGGTAACGTTTATCCGGACGCGTTGTGGTTGATGATTTGCCTTGCATATCATAATTGTACTCCAATAAGAATGGCGAGTTACAGTGAATGGGAAAGCGTGCGCGACACCATTGCGTCCGAAGCCAGCAAGACGGTGGTGGTGCTCTTCGATGCGCCTTGGGCCGCTGCCAAGACAAAGATCGCCCTGAGTAACTTGGAATTGTTGCTTGGAGCCCATCGCACCGACCTGGTAGTACAGTGTCTGTCGACCTTGCTAAAATGATGATTCACAGAGATACATATGTACCTAGGTGTATGTGCGCGTGGATGCATCTCACATCGACGACGACGATGTGATTGACTTGGGTGTGGGCGAATTGCCTTTCATTCAAGTGTACACCCAAGGCACCCTCGTCGCTGGACTCGACGCGACCGATGCATTGGTTGGTCACGTCACCATGACGATCCATATTCACACAAATGTATTTGAAATGACTCGATATGAGTACAGGTGGCACGCAACTTGGTGCGATATATCGGCTGGCACGCCGGTGACAACAATGCCGTCGACAACGGTACGAGGCCGCCCGACGTTTCTTCTCGTGTGATCGTCGGTGTGTAGGCACCGTCGTGCCCGCCGTGGACTACGCCAAACTGACGTCGGTGGTGGACGCCATCACCAAAGGCGAGACTGACTTTATCGCCAACTGCGCGAATGTGTCGGCGGCCATCTGGGACGCCTTTCATGAGGCCAAGCGACCTGTGAACTGGGCCGGGTTTTACTTGAATCGTCCCGTGGAAAACTCAGACACGCGGCTGTTGGTGCTCGGGCCATTCCATGGCAAACCCGCATGCAAGCGTATCCAACTGCACAGCGGGGTATGCGGCGCGGCGGCGTCGACGCGACTCATTCAGGTAGCGTCGGCACAAATGACAATATATGACGACGTGTGCATCGTAGCGGATTCCAAACGTGCACGACTTCCCAGGACACATTGCGTGCGACTCTGCGTCGGCGTCCGAGCTCGTGGTTCCCGTCCTCGTCCAGGGCGACTTGATCGGTGTCCTCGATTTAGATTGTCCGGAACTGAATGGGTTTCATCAAGCCGACGCCGACGGATTGCAAGCGATTGTCGACTTGTTTGCGAATCGAACGCACTGGGACTCGCTGACGTTACCGGTGCGCAATTTGCCGCTGGAACCGCATCCCGAGCACTAATGACTTCGTGTGTATACCTACAGTGTACCTACCAAAAGTGTACAGTACACGACTGTCAACGAATACACTTAGTGTCACAATTGCAACAGACGAGTGGTATTGCCATCAAAAGGAAGCTATCCCCATCAAGCCTCCATCACACGTTGTTGATGGTATGGCCAGACACGAATACAGGATGAAACAGATTGAATCGTCTTGACCAAGGCCATACATACATAGAACACGCAACAGTGATACATTTTCATGTTGATGTAGCTAGCCATCTATATAGCTAGCTAGCTACCTTGCCTCTACTTTGCAAGAGTTGGAGTAGTTATTTAGGTTGAGTTATTCAAAGTCGAGTGCAGGGGTCGCACACCGAGGTATGTATATTGACAGTCGTAGTCACTTGTATTCGATGATGTCGTGTCTGCTTGCTGGGCCTTGTCAAGGGAACGGCCGTAGCAATATGTGTCCAATAGCTTGGTTATATGGACGCCGACGGTGTGGCGGCGCTAGTGACTTGGACGGCAATTGTTTGCAGCTGCTCGACAATCTTGATCGGCGCCGCCAGGCCAAACATTTTGATCATGCTCGATGGAATCGACCCGCCAAAGTCGACATGGGCGTACACGATGACGTCGCAATTGGCATGGTCCTTTGGCTCGGGGGTCAGAAGGTACCCTGTCAGCAGCGCTTGGCCGCGGGAGTACCCGACCTTGGCCCCAAAATCGTCGATGGATGTGACAGAGCGCGAGGCGATGGCGAGGCGGCCGTCTGGCAGGCGTTTCGACGTTGTGATGACGCAGAAATCGCGAGGGTCAATGACCATGAACCCGTGGGTCTCGAAGTACCGCAGGTCCGTGGCATCGTCGAACTGATGGACCACGTGCCCAGACCTTGTGAACTTGTCCAGGCGGGGTGCCATGTTGATGTCCGTCAAAATGCGAGCGCACGTGTCCGCGGACGCGTGAATTCTTCCCATGGTCTTCATCGCAGGCCATTCGCTGTTCTCCACGTCGCCCCAGTACACCTGGATACCTTTTCGCTTCTTGTCGGGGCCGACGTTCCACGTGCGAGGGACGATGCCATGGCCGCCGATTCGGGCAAGCAACATCGCTACGGACTCTTCCTTGAAGGCCTCTATGTTTTCCCGCACTGCCGATAGCTCCAGCACAGGATGGAGCCACACGGACTCTGGTACTTGCGTGACCGTGACCAGTGGTTCCGCACCCGTCGTTGGCACAGCAGCAACGTCAGCGGCGCTCATTTCATTGTCCGGATACGATCGCAGAAGTTGAAGATTGGCGAACGGAATGTATGTCCTCCTGAAAGGGCGTGCATTCCATATTGATTGGTATTGGTGGCCCTCTAGAGCTGCCGTCGATGCATACTCCGGAAGTAACGTTCTTTGCGAGCTGAAATGGTACTACTGCCTGGCTGCCCTACTACAATCCAAACCTCACAGACGATAGGTATATGAAGTACTGCTGTGTAGCCCTGTAAAAAATCATCGGCAGAGTTGGTCTGTCAGTCGCAACACCCAATATGCACATTCCAGTTGTTCGTGTATGCCGCGATCAATTGCTCTGGTATTTAAGAGGTCCTAGAAATGGACTATCAAGCAGTCTACAAACGATAATAGTAGTCATGGGATTACTGTAGTGATACGGTAACGTACAGTACTCTCTCTCTGTCAAGGTCAAGTTGTTGTAAGACGCGCATTTGCATTTATTTATTATTGTTGACGCAAACCCTTTCAAGGTCAAAATGAAGTCAAGTATTTTAAACTCAGGAACGAATCACTTGGTATTTTTATTCAATTAAAAATAAAAGCGTCGAGATTCCTTGACAGGCAGCATCGACAATAACATTGTTCCAATCATCATCATGACAAGCCGCCGTGTCCTGGGGTACGTTTGGTCGGTGTTTGTCGCGCAATGGCCGACGATTTCCAGTCACACCGAAGCTGCCGTTGAGCGCATTCGCACGTCCGAGCTGAGCGATGCCGTGCGGGACTTGTCTTCGTTCTCGCTGCACATGTTGCTTCGGTTCATGCAACTCGTGACGGCGCTGGTCCTTCTCCTCACGTCGGCGTCGGCTATCTACGCGTGCATGTACTACCTGGTCATGCCCACCAAGATCCTGCAGCGGTAACACGACGGTCTCCGCTTCCATCATCCTCATGACTTGTCGTAGACCGCTATACTTTGACTATGGAGTCCACAGCCTCGTCCTTCATGCTAACGAACACGTCCATTACACGCATCGCGACAACGTCGCCGCGTCGATCATTCATCTGCCCACAGCGACGCTCGATCTGTCCACGGGGCCCAATGGTCGAGATCAATGGACGTACGTGGATGTCGAGGACGCGGCTCCAGTGGCCGCGCTGACGCCAGGCGCCAAGTACGATCTCGTGGTGGATTTAGAGCTAGCGCAATCCGCCACGAACGTCGACATTGGCACATTCATGGTGCGGACCGAAGTGCTGTGGAACAACATCACCACCGCCCGCAGCGCTCGCCCGGTGTTTGTCCATCCAGGCCACTGGGTGGTTGACCTCTCGGCTCGCCTCGTGTGGCTCTTGCCGACATTAGTCTTCGGTCGCCATGGGTACATCAGTCAATCGCAGTCGATCCTGGCCATCAACGGCTACAAGGACCTGCGCCACCGCCCGCTCACCGCCGTCCGCGTCGAGCTCAGTCATCCGCGCGTGCAAGTGGCTCGGGCGTCGCTGAGTATCGTGGCCCAGCTGTCGGGGCTGCGCTATCTCATGTACCATTGGTTCACAGTCACTTCGACACTCGCTATCCTCAACATCGCCGGCGCCCAAGTGTTTGGATGCTTTGTCTTGTACTTGTACCTGACGTTTCCACCGGTGGATGAACCTCCAGCGGCGGACCACGATGATGGTGACAATGAAGGGGATGAGGAGCTACTCGGTGACCTTGCGAGCAATGACGAAGAAGAAGAAGGCAGTGGGCTGTGTGGAGACTTTAACACACAAGTGTTTACAGCCGAAAGCACGGCGCACCTGCGATGGCCATCGTCCCAACCACATGGAGCAGCCAAGGCGACGTAGTTGGCTAGTCCCCGACATCATACTGTACTCAAGAATCAACGCTAAATACCATACATGCTAATATGATTGTTAGACGATCAAGGAGCAGCACATTTCTACTGTAACTTATGGCCGTCAAAGTGCAACGACTGCACATTTGAGTTAACGCAAATGGCCAATAATTAAAATAATACGTCGAAGTACTTGAAAACTGAAAAGGGGCAACAATTAATCCGAGGGCAATAATTGACCGTTTACGTTACTACACCTTTTTTCGGTTAATTTCAGGACCTCACCATACTTTTTCGCGAAATGAACAACCAATTCGCGGCGGTTCCACTTCGTTCGTGGTATATTTGTTATATTTCGCCTGCAACCAAGAAGGTTGCAGTATATTTCAAGCGATGTTCGTTATGTGTCACTGTGTATGCGCTCAATTCAGCGAGTGCTCAATATATTTCGGGGTGGATTCGATATATTTCAATAAAAAATGTAAATCAATCTGACTTTCGACGTAAAATGCAATTCTTGGTCGATCAGGCTGCAACTTCCATGTCTTCCATGTTCTCCGCGGCCGTAGAAGTATTCCAGCCGCAACGAGCAACGGTGCAGGCGATTCACGTCGGCATCTGTAAATGTATAAGTTACATTTTCATCGACGATCCATACCTGCAATGACTTCGTCGGCGATGTACTCATACGAAACTCGTCACGAGTTTGTCCGTCAGGACGAGGTCCCATAAACGCAGCAAGGCGCTCGCGCAGCAACGTCTTGCTGTGGCTCGTCATTGTGGACCAATGATTCTCGATGGGGTCGGCGGCGTGGCTAGGACACGTCAACTAAGTACATAGGGTATGTATTGGAACGTACTGGTGTGGCAAGCGCTGCGGGAGGGGCTTGTTCCATCGACCGTCGTTTTGAAGAATGAGCGAAAGCCCGCGAGAACTTCGGTTGAAGTGATTCCTTTCTATTTTCGCTCGAAATATATCGATTGCACCCCGAAATATATTGAGCACTCGCTGAATTGAGCGCATACACAGTGAAATATAAGGAACGTCACTTGAAATATACTGCAACCTTCTTGGTTGCAGGCGAAATATAACGAATATACCACGAACGAAGTGGAACCGCCGCGAATTGGTTGTTCATTTCGCGAAAAAGTATGGTGAGGTCCTGAAATTAACCGAAAAAAGGTGTACCGTACCTTTCGATTCAATGTTGGAGTGGTACAGCCAGGAGTACCACTGGAAAATTTGGTATTCATTGCCTCTAGACATAAATATCCTTTCAGAAGTAATGCCTCTCTACGACGCGATAACTGACGAGCAAACTTGAAGCGACTTCCTGCAGATTTCAGCATGCAAACTTGAGCTTGTAAACTGACATTGACACCTCCATTCACTTTCCATTATGCCGTGACCGTCCCATCGCAAGCCCTAGAAATGTACTTGTATGATTTCAATTTGAGTTTGTCACGAAGAACTTCCATAAAATTATATTCCTCAAAATTACATAGAAATATTAATTTTGAATAGACTAGAAACAGGGTGGTCACAGCCGAGTACCATTCCAACATTGAATCGAAAGGTACGGTAGTATGGTGCATTTCAAC